TGAAAACAAACACTGAGAAAAAAAAATGTTTATATTGATAAATTACGTTACAATTATCACTAGACTGTCTTTACGTTCCTGGTTGTAGAGCTGTAATAATAATAAACTTTATTTGTATAGCACCTTTCATGCACAAGCAGCCCAACGTGCCTTACAGAAAACGTAACAAGAATATTAAAATACTATTAAAATGAATACAGAACAAGATAAAACATCTACAGTGATAATGTTAAAATAAACAATTCAAAAAATTAAATAAAAAATGTAAAATAAAAGCAAAACAGAAAAAGTAGTGACAATTGAAAGTTAATCCAAATTAAAAGCCATATTAAAAAAGATAGGTTTTTAATTTGCTTTTAAACATTCCAAGGGAGTTTGCTGTTCTAAGATCCACTGTAAAGAAAGTCTCCGCTTCTGTAACTTGTTTTGCTGTCTTCATGAGACCCTGTTTGAATTTTTGAAATTGTAACACCATCTCGCCAGCTTGTCCTAAATGCAGGAATCCCAGCATGCTTTGTGAAGCAATCAGTCGTCCCCCATACACAATGAATGGGAGCAAATTGTGTTGCAACTCTGATTGCGTACAGTAGACCTGCATTGTGATCCAGCATTTGCTTCCTGTTTCCGTCTGTCTTTCTCAAGTTTAACATACGTCCTGTTTCTGTTGCAGTGGTGGCTGCAGTGGTTCATGACAAAGATGGCTCAGTCAGCAGCGCCTGGTACACTGATCGTAAATTCACCATCTCTGTTACTGCAGTCCTCATTATTCTCCCTCTCTCCATCCCCAAAGAGATTGGCTTCCAGAAGTATGCCAGGTACAAAACGTTGTCTCTCTTGTTTTCTCACCAAGGATTAGAATGAGATAATGTTTTCTCACCTTTACCCTGCACGATAATCATGTCTGAGTTGTTGCTCTTCATCGTAGTGCGCTCAGTGTGATGGGGACCTGGTATGTGACCATCGTGGTCATCATCAAGTACATCTGGCCGGATAAAGCGGCGATCCCAGTCTACGTTCCCACCAGGTGAGCGCTACACACACTTCATCCCGCTGCGCTAATTCTCTGCAGCTAACGGCTCTTTCAGACCTTTTTACTAATCGTTTTACCACTGTCCAACAAGAAACATCTTCATCCTCGTCTTCATGCTTTGCTTGAGTTGCTAAATTGTTGTGTTTGTTACAGTTCTTCTTCCTGGACTGCAGCTTTCAATGCAATGCCCACCATATGCTTTGGCTTCCAGGTATACCTTAATTTGCTTTCATTTGAAATCTTAGAACTAAATGCCTGTCTTTCAAAGAGAGTCTGAAAATGTTGAATTATTTTGGTATCATCTTAATCATCCTGCTCTCTCTCTTCAGTGCCACGTCAGCTGTGTGCCGGTGTTCAACAGCATGAGCAAGAAGGCGATCAAACCGTGGGGAGTCGTGGTCACTTTTAGCATGATAATCTGCCTCTTCGTCTACACAGGAACAGGTACTGTCAATGTGTGCAATTATTACTCGAAAATGTATTGCAATGATGTTATTTGATTATATTATATAGTCAAAGTAAATTATTTATTACAATGAAATGCCTTTTTAAAAAAATCCTACTTTGAAACAGACGGATCATTTATTTGTTTTGTTGTCACATGGATTATAGACTCTTAATGTATTTTAAAGTCGGTCAGTATGTCGGTATTTAATAACCTCTTGTGTTTGTTCAGGTGTCTGTGGCTTCCTGACGTTTGGCTCTAACGTCAATCAGGATGTGTTGATGTCGTATCCTTCAGACGATATTGCAGTGGCCATCGCAAGAGCTTTTATAGTCATCTGTGTCATCACCTCCTACCCCATTTTACACTTCTGTGGCAGGTAAGAACCAGCTAATCCAGAAATATCCAGCATACTGTCAGTCACTTTGGCTTAGATTGTGTTAGGATTGTAAAATGACAAGTTGTTATTCAAATGTGTAGCTTTTTTGTACTGTGTAAAATAACAAAGTATGACATACTAAACGTACGAAAAGTAAAAGTACTCCTCACGCTGATTATACTTCTTAATGCATTAGTTAGGCCTGCACATAACTTTCATGTTGCAATTGGAATTCAATTTAATATCTTGTATTTATCTGAATCCTGAAAGTAACTGACTGAAGCAAAGATTGTAATACTTGTGAAAGTGGAAAGTTGATAGAAAAAATAAATAAAATAATAACTACAGCTTGATGTTACCCTAAACATGCCAGAGTGATCGGGATCGGCTACATACAGTCAGATGGACATAGAGAGGCTTGTCTTTGGATCAGTACCTGGTGTCAGATCATTACGCTGCAGTTAATGCATCGTTTCCTCACCGCTCTGTGATAATGTGTCCTCTCAGGGCCGTCATTGAGGGGCTTTGGCTGCGTTTCCAAGGTGAGCAGGTGGAGTTGTGTGTGCGTCGCGAGCAGAGGCGGAGGATCCTGCAGACGCTGGTGTGGTTCACCATCACCCTCACCCTCGCACTTTTCATCCCGGATATTGGTCGGGTGATCTCTCTGATCGGGGGATTGGCTGCCTGCTTCATCTTTGTCTTCCCAGGTAACACTTTAACTCTTCGTTTGCAAGGTTTCCAATCTGTGCGATATTTTAATGTCACACTAATGTTTATTCATTTTTATCTTTTGCTCAACAGGTTTGTGTTTGATGCAAGCCAAGCTGTCAGAGACAGACAGCCGAACTACAAGGTGAGAGGCTGATTCTTGTTGGATGTATTTCAGTTTTATTGGAACTAGATTACATTTTACTGTGAAGCAACAAGGTCCCTGTATCTAACTTCAAATCGGGCCTCAGTATTGGGACTTTGGTTCTTTAACCAGACTTGCTCTGCTGCCGTTTGCTGCTATAATTTAAGAATAATTGTTCTCACTGGGATTATTGAAGTGTAATTTTAAAGATGCAGTATCACACTTTTGCCATTAGTCCAGAAAATATACCGTTTTTAAAACAACTACTAGTTCAAACTGTTTAAAAACGGCAGTTAGAGGCAAAGCATTTGTAGAACCCACACATTGTTTAAAAAGAAGTCGTAGTGTAACATCAGCATTTATTGACGTAATATCTACTGTTTGATGTGCATAGATTTTTCCTTAAAATGAGAATACGTGTTGTCTTAAAAGAATAGTCTTAGCCATACTAATAGCACGAATCCTCAGTATATTACGGTAGTGCATGAGATACAGAAAATATGTTTTAATTAAGTCAGCAACTGCAAGCATGATTTTTGAATACATGACTTTTGCTCATGGTGGCATATTAGCGGTTTTATTTCAGTAAATTATCTGAGTACTTCCTTCTGAATGAAAGGGAAATTATTTCCCATGAGGACTTTTCTTAAATGTCGGTCTTTCTTGTTACAGCTGGCATGGAATGGTGGTCTTCGGCATTATAATGGTTACGATTGGAACCTTCATCTTCGGCCTCACCACGACAAACTCCATCTACCAGGACGTCATCAGCTAAGAGGAGCAGTTTTATTGAGCCCGCTGTGTCAAAGACAGAGGGGCCTCAGTCCTGTGCTGCTATTTCTGAACTACGATGGAGAAGCATCTCATGACACTCATTTACAAAAGATTCCTCCGGCATTTCACATCTCTGCTCCACACTGAGTAAAAGCCCCACAGATCTTTACTCAGGTAGTACTCGGAGACATCCTGCAATGCCAAATGACTTCAGACACTTTTATTTGATGTACAGTTTAAAGTGCATGTTTTAATGATGGTTGGAAACCGTTTGTGGCGGTTTAGTGGCTCCCTGTATACAAGAGCTGAGGGACTTTATATAAGGGGTCTTACAATCAAATTGATTTTAATAATAAAATTGTACCAATTTATGTATTTTAACTTGCATGTTTCTTATCAAAATATTGACATGTTGTAGTTCGCAGATCAAATACAGTTCCACACTTTAGTGCTGCTGCTATTTCCCACAAAATAATTTAGTTTCTTCCCCAATAAAAGTTTTGACTGGGTGCAGACGAAAGTACACAAACATTAATGAGTAGTGTGAAAACTGCAGGCCAGGTCTTTTCAAATATTTGTGTAAACATTCAATACCTCTAAATGAGTTGAAAAACAATACATTTAGGAAAGCATGAGTTGTTTCTTATATTAGAATTACTAATGATTTTTATAATTGGCTTTGAGGTGAAACAATGCTTGTAAAAGTTACATTTGTGAGTCAGCAGGTCTTAAACAGTCATGCGATGAAAACCAAACTCTGTATGCAAAAAAAAAAAATGATACTCAGAACTTGATTTGTACACTATTTAAAAAAGTGACTCAGGCACACTGATAATTTACTTGAATCTGTTCATGCTGAAGACTAAGCAGTTTTTAACCTCAAACCAATGTGTGCACTTTCTTTTGACCAAATGTTCAAGACTTGACCATATGATATTCATTAAACAATTGAGAACAGTTATTTCAACTGCTGATCATTTTGGGTATGTTAATGCTATAATACAAGTGAGATTTGAAAACTTTCAGTTTGTACTTTTTATGAAACCCAGCCATACTGTCTGTGGAAAAGGGACAGTTACATTAAGGGATAATTTTGTTGTCAATGGTGGACTAACTACATTTACTATGTACACTAATGAAGGTAAGGAAACTAGTTAAAACAATGCCACCTGCCACCAGTAGGAGAACTTGAATGTCTAGTTATTGCTGGGATTTTAATTGTTTTTATGATTTGGTGTTCAGTGTCAACATGTTTTTCCAATCATTTTGGTGCTGCAAACTAGTTTTTACTCTGTCAGGTGCATTTACGATTTCTGTTACTGATTTACTGTGTTAACATGGATGTCGTTTTCCCCCCCTTCCAAGTCATTTAGTTCAGAAATCAAGTCGAATGTTTTCTCATACAGAGAATTGACGCAAAGTTAATTTAATGTTTTAATGGGTATACTGAACAGAGCTACCTGTGATATCCCAATTAAAGCAGTCAGGGTATGTGAATAAAGCTGACAATACACATCACTGGCAGTTCAAAACATTTAATAAACAGACAAGTGAAGTCAGTTTTGATCAAACAATTGGAGCATTGTTTTTATTTCCAAAGGATAAAGGACCCGCTTTACAATCAGTGCCACAGATGCATAGCTTAATTTGATCATGTTAAAGGTGGGGTAGGTAAGATTGAGAAACCGGCTCGAGATACACTTTGTTATATTCCATGGAATGCTCTTAACATCCCGATAGCAATGAATATCCGTTTTGACAACAACAAAAAAATCCATAAAGAAAATGTCATCTGTGGAAGCCGTAGTACTGTAAAAAGCACGACCAATCATTTTAGCCGGCCCGGCTAAAATAACTGGATGGCCTACCTGCCCGTCAGCCTTCCATCTGTGCACAAACTTATCTCGTTCCCTCATTGGTCATGTGCGCGTGTGTGTGTTGGAGGGGCTCTGTAAGGAAGTGGCCGATTTTTTCCGGCTGTGTATTTTCAAATTCTAGCGCACTCGAGCTGGTTTCGCCAAAAATTACCTACCCCACCTTTAAGTGCAGTCATAAATATTTTGAAAAGAACTATTTCCGTTTAGTCTTTTTTACTCAATGTTCTGACTTTCTAGCAGCCCTATACCTTGTTATAGGTAGGCTACATGTAGTACCCCAACACCATGAAGAACAATAACTAAACTCATTGGTTGGCTTGTTGCATTTAAGAATAAACTGAATTTTGTCAACAGGCCGATGAGCAGCTGCAATACTTGCTGAAAACCAGACTTAAGGCACAAATTCCCGAGCCAGAAATAAAGCGTACATTTTCATTTCAAGTCCAAACAAACATTGTCCCTCTTCAAATACTTACTGCAAGTCATCCACAAACAAATTAGATATGAATAATTGCCATTAAAGTAATTTTCCCTTTTAAAATCATCTTCCCTGAGAATAATGTGCCATCCGAAGTGATGAGTGCAGGTACACTACACATAGTCTCAATCAGGGCTCAGTAGGGGCCATTTGTTATGAAGGACTGGAACATGTGGAAAGCTGGCCCTGGAGCCCACTGAGGAACCATGTGACCTGCACCCTGAAACACAGAACAGCAGTTTGTCACCCATAATGCAACCATCTCCAATGTGAAGCAGGACAAACATGCTTCTAGGGCACACAAACTACGGTTACCTTGACTGTCAGGAAAGTGATGTTTCCATACTGTTGGTAGAAACCGGCCACCTGGTTATCATGATGCCACATCTTGTACTCTGTGGTTGCCTGAGGATAGCAATTAGTATTTATTATTAAATTGCATTTTAATTTACAACTTTTTCTGTTCGTACTGAAGTTACTCTTGCGAGCTTTACGCAGTTCCCTTTGATAGTTCCTACCTTCAGACCGAGGTCTTCCACAAACCACTGGTCTCCCATGAAGTTGCAGGCCATGTCGGTGTCGCCGTTGTAAACGAGAGCCCGCAGGCCCAGAGACAGCAGCTTCACATAGACATCCTTCACTGTTGGGTACAGGTTGGTGTACTGCTCTCCCACCTCATCACTGCAATGAAAAGTGATCATTGAAATGAACATCAATGGGTAGGTGACCTTGTACCAAACGGCACACAGAAAGGACAGCGTCGTAAAAAGCAATAATTATACACGAGTGAACAACAGTTTCTAAAAAGCAACTTGGCTTGTAAATTATTTTTTAAACTACATCTCCAAATTGTTTCAGACAAAGCAAAACATTTGTAGAATACACATGTTTAAAAGGTCCCCTATTATACTGTTTTTCATCAATATATTATAATTCTCAGATATATACCGTGGTTGGTTTTTGAAAAAGAGTGAATATTTTGTCCTGAAACTTTCAGAATCTCTTTACACGGAGGGGACACATATTTCTGCATAAGATACATGAAAAAGTAGATTTTGCATAATAGGTGACCTTAGAAAAAGAAAAACAAGGCCATATCCCATTCATTCAGCATACCTGCAGATATCCCAGGGTGGCAGGGTGTCTGGGATGTGTAAAGCTTTCCTCACGGCGCCTCTGTTCAGCCAGTTCATCTGAGCCGTGCTGTTGATGCAGAGAGGGACTGCACCCAGAGACATGATGGACGACACTCCATCTGAAAACTTTGTTAATATATTTTTGTATTATTACTACTAAAAGAAAACAAATTATTTGAAGGACAGGTATATAGGTGGGCAGCTCTCACCTTGTGGGTTTGTGGGTGTTTCCTGATGTTCTTAAACAGCTGACTCATGGTCCTATCATAGCTTGTGAGGGATCTTCCGCCACCCTCACAATCCAAGTACAGGCCGTACTCATTAAGCCCGCTACCATACACAATTCCAAAGGCCACATTCACCTTAAAGGAAACATGGAAAATGTAAATCTTAATGAGTCATTTAGTAGCACAAGAAATACCCATCTTAATAGTTAGAGATGTGCACAAGTACCATTGTCTTGCAGGTCTCTGAACTGGAGTTGTGGAAGTCACAGTTCCCCTTGTCACAGCAATTTATGTTCAGAGCACGCCACAAACTGCACATAAAACACAGCTTTATGAAATCAACCACATGATGAATTCAAAACTTTTTAAACAGTGGCATGATGTGCCAAGTTAATTGCTAAAGTTTAACCACAGACAATGGTAAAAAATGTCCTTTGAGTCCAATACATGTTACTGATTTCTCAGGCAGAAAACACAAGTAAATAGTTATGGTGTTAAGGTTTATTAAAAGATAATTCTGTCTGAAGCCAGGAAGAGAATTGTGCAGAGTTCCTTTCTGTCTGTATTAGACTATGGCGATGTGAGCTATATGCATGCTCCTTCCTCCCTGCTTAAAAAGCTGGATTCTGCGTACCATACTGCTATACGTTTTGTAACGGGTGCAGGCTCTCGCACCCACCACTGCACTTTGTATCAGTCCCTAGGATGGTCCTCTCTGTACCAAAGAAGACAATCACACATGTTGATTTTTATCCTTAAGTCATTGCTAGGTAAGCTGTCCTTATATATCTCCAGACTTCTGTCCTTTTATACTTGCTTTTTTAATACCAGACGAGCAGCAAATGGGATGCTTTTAAATGTTCCTTTGATGCAGTCAGAGCTTGGTAAAGCTGCATTCTCCCACTATGCTCACTTTTTATGGAATACGCTGCAAGTAAAACTTTGTCTAGAGGCACTTCCTACTGTAAATGCTTTAAAGGTATGCTACGATTAGCCCTTCATGAAACATGTAACTGTTTTACCTGATGCTATTGCTGATGTGATTATGCTTCTTGCCACTGCACAAATGGCCTTCTGTATTTATATTGTATGTTTTTTGTTTAATGCCCTTGTTTTATGTTGAAACTTATTGTGTGCCGTGTTGGTCAGGACTCCCTGGAAGAAGAGATCTTGTATCTCAATGGGACATTCCTGGATAAATAAATAAAAATAAGAATTACTTTGAAGTGAAATTTAAATACTGTTCCTCCTAATGAACTAACAAAGCTTCTCCTCAGACTAAAGGCATACACTAAAAAGCAGAACAAAATATTGTTTCATTTCAAACCTTTATTTATCCAGGTGTATCCCATTGAGATCATTGATCTCTTTTTCAAGGGAGACCTGCAAAAATTGTAAACTGAAACTAAATAAATGTGGTCGTTCTTTCAACTCTTCTGCTATAGAGCCAGAGATGTTAAACAGACTTGACATCCCAGCAGGTGGTGCTATTTTGCAATAAGCAGGTGAGGGTTGGAATAATAAAAAAGAGGAAGCCAAAGTGACAAAAGGCAGGTGACAAGTTCCCTTTGGTGGTAGTTTGAGTTCCCCAATCATATTATTTAAAAGATATAGCCATTAAAACTACTGAAATTGATGTCAAAACGTAATACAATTTATATAAAATGTAATTTTTACTAGACAAGTCACATTTTTAAATCCAACTTGTGAAAATGATTTCTTTCAGTTCTGTTTTAAAACCTCATGTTTGTCCCAAGAGTTAGCGTCATTCCAAAAAAGGTAGGTTCAGTATATCGTGTGTATTGTCGCTGGATTATACAGGGGAACACACAAAGCAGTTTCAGAGGGCATTACTTTTTCTAGTATCACTTACTCTTCTCCAAAGAGGCCGTGGTAGTAACCGAAGTAGATCAAAGATTGGTCATTAAGAGCAAAGCTGCTGAGACCATTTCCCACTGAAAAGCCCTGAGAGCCAAAATATGATAGAAATGTATTTTAAATTACAAACATGTTTCACTGCAAAATTATTTTTCAGAATACCACAAAATAAAAATCTCTACGATCATGAAACTGCATTTTAGTGGTTGATATTCCTGCTAAGCAAAACATCAGATGCTTAAGAAACATTTATATCAGTGATGACAAAAGTACTCGGATTTATACCTAGAGTAAAGCATAGCAATGTGACAAGGTAAAACAAAACAAACTAAGAGAAAAGAGTTACCTTTTAACTTTTATAAAGTTAATGTATATACAATGGGGCAAAAAAGTATTTAGTCAGCCACCAATTGTGCAAGTTCTCCCACTTAAAAAGATGAGGCCTGTAATTTTCATCCTAGGTATACCTCAACTATGCTCCCAGGCCAGCGAAGAGATATAATCCCTCCACCTGGTCCTAGGTCTACCCCTTGGTCTCTTCCCAGCTGGACGTGCCTGGAACACCTCCATAGGGAGGCGCCCAGGTGGCATCCTAACTAGGTGCCCGAAACCACCTCAACTGGCTCCTTTCGACGTGAAGGCAAATCACATGGTCTGATTTTTAAAGAATTTATTTGCAAATGATGGTGGAAACTAAGTATTTGGTCAATAACAAAAGTTAATCTCAATACTTTGTTATATACCCTTTGTTGGCAATGACAGAGGTCAAACGTTTTCTGTAAGTCTTCACACACTGTTGCTGGTATTTTGGCCCATTCCTCCATGCAGATCTCCTCTAGAGCAGTGATGTTTTGGGGCTGTCGCTGGGCAACACGGACTTTCAACTCCCTCCAAAGATTTTCTATGGGGTTGAGATCTGGAGACTGGCTAGGCCACTCCAGGACCTTGAAATGCTTCTTACGAAGCCACTCCTTCGTTGCCCGGGCGGTGTGTTTGGGATCATTGTCATGCTGAAAGACCCAGCCACGTTTCATCTTCAATGCCCTTGCTGATGGAAGGAGGTTGTCACTCAACATCTCACGATACATGGCCCCATTCATGTTTTCCTTTACACGGATCAGTCGTCCTGGTCCCTTTGCAGAAAAACAGCCCCAAAGCATGATGTTTCCACCCCCATGTTTCACAGTAGGTATGGTGTTCTTTGGATGCAACTCCGCATTCTTTCTCCTCCAAACAAGTCTAGTTGAGTTTTTACCAAAAAGTTCTATTTTGGTTTCATCTGACCATATGACATTCTCCCAATCCTCTTCTGGATCATCTATCTAGCAAATTTCAGACGGGCCTGGACATGTACTGGCTTAAGCAGGGGGACACGTCTGGCACTGCAGGATTTGAGTCCCTGGCGGCGTAGTGTGTTACTGATGGTAGCCTTTGTTACTTTGGTCCCAGCTCTCTGCAGGTCATTGAGGTCCCCCCGTGTGGTTCTGGGATTTTTGCTCACCGTTCTTGTGATCATTTTGACCCCACGGGGTGAGATCTTGCGTGGAGCCCCAGATCGAGGGAGATTATCAGTGGTCTTGTATGTCTTCCATTTTCTAATAATTGCTCCCACAGTTGATTTCTTCACACCAAGCTGCTTACCTATTGCAGATGCAGTCTTCCCAGCCTGGTGCAGGTCTACAATTTTGTTTCTGGTGTCCTTTGACAGCTCTTTGGTCTTGGCCATAGTGGAGTTTGGAGTGTGACTGTTTGAGATTGTGGACAGGTGTCTTTTATACTGATAACGAGTTCAAAGAGGTGCCATTAATACAGTTAACAAGTGGAGGACAGAGGAGGCTCTTAAAGAAGAAGTTACAGGTCTGTGAGAGCCAGAAATCTTGTTTGTTTGTAAGTGACCAAATACTTATTTTACCAATTAATTCATTAAAAATCCTACAATGTGATTTCCTGGATTATTTCCCCCCATTCTGTCTCTCATAGTTGAAGTGTACCTAGGATGAAAATTACAGGCCTCTCATCTTTTTAAGTGGGAGAACTTGCACAATTGGTTTCTGACTAAATACTTTTTTGCCCCACTGTACACTTCAATATATATACATGTCTTACTAGCAGTGGTTAGCATGAAGCATCTCACCTTGAAGTTGATCTTGGCCGCTCCAGTAGCCACACGCAGGCTAAGAGTCGGTGCATAAATGCCACCGTAACTTTCCCCAAAGATGAAGAACTCATTTTTAGTGAAATTGGGAAACTTGGAGAAGAAACTCTGCAAGGCTCTGTAATTATCATCAGAGACCTAGAAAAACAAATAAAAAATAATTAATAAAGGCCGTTTCAAAGATTCCCTTCAGTTTTTAAGATATGCCAGTCAATCACTGAACTCACCTGATCATCATTAGTTGCATACTTCTTGTCATCAGAGTAGGAATATCCCACTCCTGCAGGAGACTCAATGTACAGCACATTGGCAATCTTGTTCCAGCTGGATGGGTTCTCATACAGCGTGGCTCCATTATCAGTGACCTGAAGGGAAGTCAAACATGCCACTTCGCTTAACTGGCAAAACTTTTAAGAATAGCTATCCCTTAAATTCCCACTATCAGCCTGGTTTGGCTGCATTACAGTCAATGTATGTCATTTTCTGAAGTTAACATAATGTCTTAGCTGTTCATCATCTCCACAATGCTGATGATCATGATCAGAACCTCATTGAGCAATAGTTTGTGAAAAGGCTAGTAATCAACCCTTCAATGTCTTCTATCAAATATTTAGCCATCTTTGAGCAATATTCTCCTTTAGTAAGCCCAACTCTCAGCTTCTGCCTTTAGGGCATATTAGGTACAGAGTCTGCTGTGAAAAGAAAAACATTTAGCTGTAGCCATAACAAAAGTCATAAACGGTAAGGATCCTCTCTTTAACCTGGAAGTTGCACTCACCATAAAGTACCTGGTACTGCTTTTTTAAAAGTACACCTTGAGTTTTCTTGGAAAATGTGTTTAATGGTTCCTGATTTATCATTGCTTGTGACATGCTCAAAAGGCCACCACAAAAAGGAGACACAACATGTCAACGGGTAGGTAAAGGTGTTTATTTGCACAACACTGGTCAATTCAACACATTGGTTATACTCATCAGAGCCGGGTGCCTGCAGGAAAACAGAGCGAGAGCAGACAGGAGCAGAGCGGCTTTAAAATAGCTGCAGAGCACCAGACCCAGGTGCCCTGAGTTACTGCAATCGGCGCAATCACTGGAGCCAATGCAGCACAGACAGAACAGCCACACCCTATCTACTGATGCACCCACAGGGGCATCACAGCCCCCCCCTTAAGACGGGGCCCCAAAGGGATCCCCGAAACAACACCAAATATCCAGAGCGACTCCCTACCCCACCGGGGCACGAGAGAGAGCATCCGCCACAACGTTGTCCTTCCCCTTAATGTGCCGAATGTCCAAACTATAGGACTGCAGGAACAGGGCCCCACCTCATCAGCCGCCGGTTCGGACAGTTAAGTGAACAGAGAAAGGTAAGGGGATTATGGTCGGTATAAACTACAACTGGGCTACTCCCAAATCCCACATACACCTCAAAGTGCTGGAGGGCCCATATTAAGGCCAATGCCTCCTTTTCGATTGTTGAGTAATTGAGTTGGTACGAATTAAACTTCTTTGAGAAGTAACAAACTGACCTATCAATACCCTCAACCTCTTGCAGCAAAACCGCACCTGCCCCGACATGACTAGCATCAACCTCCAGTTTGAACGGCTCATCGAGGCGCGGCGCAGCGAGAACCGGAGCACAGCACAACAGGGTCCTCACATTCTCAAACGCTACCTGACACTGGTCAGACCAAATGAACTTGACTGTACCCTTCAGCAAATCAGTCAGGCGCGCAACCACTGTGGAGAAGTTCTTACAAAAAGCGCGATAGTACCAGACCAAGGAACCGCATGAGTTCCTTCTTAGTAGTGGGCACAGGAAACTGCAAAACGGCCCGCACCTTCGCGTCTACCGGACGAACTTGTCCCTGGCCGACCACCCGGCCAAGGTACGTCACTGTCGCCCTAGCGAACTCACACTTGGCCAGGTTAACAGTGAGATGCGCCTCAGCCAGGCAACAGAACAGAGCACCAATGCGTTTGATGTGGTCATCCCATGTGTCACTAAACACCACTACGTCGTCAAGATAAACAGCAACCCCCTCAAGACCTGCTACCACCATGTTCATGAGGCGCTGAAATGTCGCTGGCGCATTACAAAGCCCAAAACTCATCACTGTATACTCATACAGACCAAAAGGTGTAACAAACGCGGAAATCTTTTGCGCACGCGCCGTCAAAGGAACTTGCCAGTACCCCTTTAACAAGTCGAATTTACTGACGAACCTAGCAGAGCCCACCAAGTCAATACAGTCCTCCATCCGTGGCAACGGGTAAGAATCTGTTTTTGTCACCTTATTAACCTTACGATAGTCGTTACAAAACCGCGGAGACCCATCTGATTTGCCAACCAGCAGACTAGGCGACGCCCAACTGGAGAACGACTGTACGGCAATCTGATTGTCCAACATGTACTGGACCTCAGCCTCCAGCACCCTACGCTTATCTGCAGGACAACGGTAAAATCGCTGCTTAATTGGAGGACTGTCCCCCACGTCGATATCATGCTCCACGAGAGTTGTGCGCGATGGCGTATCGCCGAACAGTACCACAAACTTCCCGATTAAAGCCGCCAATTCATCTCTGTGCTGCCGGTAAGTGACTCAACAAGCGATCCAATTGGCACAACGACTCCGAATTCCTCAGCCTACCAGACATAACAGGTTCATCTGGTGCCTTAACATCACACTCCTCAGCCAACCCTCGATCTGAAAGCACAGAATCAACCATCATTATGGGGCCCCACACCCAACTTTTTAACCATGAAGCTATCCCCAACGGTATCCACGAACATAGTACGGTTTTCAGGAGGTTGACGTGACACAGTTGAGACAACTTCCTCCGATTTGGAGTAGCAATCAGGTAATTTTGATCTGACACTTTACTCTCAACAGTGTACGGGCCGGCAAACTTGGCTTTGAATGGTGAAACCTGCAGTGGCATCAAAGCCAACACCTGATCCCCTGGGCTGAATTCACGATACTCGGCTTTACGGTCATAGAGTCTCTTCATATTAGCCTGAGCACCAGCTAAATTTTTCCTTGCCATTTCCACCGCTACATACAGGCGATGACGAAAGCCCTGTATATAGTCCACAATTTTTAGGTGGCTCACCCTCAACCAAACCATCCTGGAGAACAGATAACACCCCACGCACCTTATGCCCAAAGACCAAATCATTAGGGCTGAACCCTGTACTTTCCTGAACGACTTCCCTGGACGCCAACATGAGCCATGGAAGTCCCTCCTCCCAGTCCTTCCCCATTTCCATACAATAAGCACGCAGCATGGACTTCAATGTTTGATGAAACCGCTCTAGCGCCCCCTGGCTTTGGGCATGGTAAGCCGACGCACGGTTATGCCTGACCCCCAGCTGCTGTAGAATCTGTTTGAACATATGGGAAGTAAAGTTGGTACCCTGGTCGCTTTGAATCACACGTGGGATCCCAAATGTGGAGATGAACTGGGTTAAAGCCCTAACTACTGGCGTCAATGAAATGGAGCGCAAGGGAAACGCTGCAGGATACCTTGTAGTCTGGCACATTATAGTAAGCATGTACGCACAACCGGACTTAGATGGAGGCAACGGCCCCACACAATCTATGATCAAATGCTCAAAAGGTTGACCAAGGGCTGGAATGGGACTGAGGGGTGCAGGCTTTACCACCTGACTTGGTTTACCAGTGAACTGACATATGTGGCATGCTTTAATATAACTTGCAACATCGCGCTTTAACCGAGGCCAGAAAAAAAATAGCGTAGGACACGGTCATAGGTTTTTTTTATCCCCAAATGTCCCCCACTATCATGCGCAGTTTGCAATATCACATCACGAAAGCTACTCGGCACCACCACCTGAAAAATTGCCTCCCCCACAGCATCACCAACACAGGGCACCCACTTACGCACCAGCAAGTCCCCCTGAACAAAGTAACCCTGGGCTATGTCTCTGACCTTCTCTGCCGGCAACACTTCAGTCCACAGAGCAGAAAGAGATGAATCGTCCCTCTGACTCCTGACCCAGTCCTCCTTTGACACCGACGAAGGGAGATCAGGCAGTGAGACCACATGTACCACATTACTTTTGCTACACTCCGAAACATGTGGGTCAGCAGACATTTTACGGCTCTGTGCACGTGTCACAGCACAAACTGGAAACACACTTGGAAACTGCAAACCACTCTCATCTGGCTCCCCAGATGCCACCGGCCTGGAAACCACCACAGGCGGTGGCACACCAGGCGGTGGCACACCAGCCCACACAGCACTACCAGCGAGATCGTTGCCCAAAATCATATGTATCCCATCGAGTGGCAACGTGGGACGCACACCGATAGACACAACTCCCCGCACCAGTTCGCAATCCAGCACTATTGTATGCCGTGGCACAGGGATCAAGCCCATCTCCATGCCCCTCATCAGCACAAAATCCCCCGTTTCTGTCTCTGACGAAAAAGGCAACACTGACTCAACAATGAATGAGTATCTAGCCGCTGTATCACGCAACACCTTAATCGGCACATATTTGTCACTACCGACTACTGATACTACCGCTTCAGTGATGAACGGCTCAAAACCAGAACCCGCATCCGGGTCGGCACAAACCGGCTTCTTATCAGGCACCATGCCCGAGCCTACACCCAACGGTTTTTTTATCCACCACGGCAGAACAACACATGGCTGGAGCATGTGGTGACAAACGAGGCTTCCCCTTCGTTTCCAGCAATGGACACTGCTCCTTCCAATGACCCCCACCTTTGCAATAGTGACATTGGTCCACTTTGGCCCCCTTGGGTCGCCCTGTACCTGCAAATCTACGGGAGGAGCCTGGTGAAAACTTTGCACGGGCATCTCCATTGTCTTCTCCACGTTTCCAATCACCCCTAGAATATTTCTCCGCAAAACTGCCCTTATGTGTCAACACAAAATCGTCCGCTAATTCAGCAGCTCTAAACGCGGTGGGAGGTTTCTGTTCATTCACATACGTGGCCACACGCTGAGGGAGAATGTTTTTAAATTGTTCCAAGACAATGAGCTCACAAAGACCGTCAAAACTTGCAACCTTTGCTGCCGCGCACCACCGCTGAAAATGAGAAGTTAAATCACGGATAAACTCCACATGTGTCTGCTTATCTCCCTTGACCCCACTTCTGAACCTTTGACGATACGCTTCAGGAACCAGTTCGTAAGATTTCAACACCGCTGATTTTACTCTATCATAGTCCAAAGTATTTTCGCCACAAATAGCTGAATAGGCTTCCTGTGCTCGCCCAGTGAGTACACACTGAAGTAACAGCACTCTATCCGAATCTGACCAGTTTCTTGCCTCTGCTATGTGTTCAAATAGAGTGAAAAAAAATGTCCAGGTCACGCTCATTGAACTTTGGCACTAATCGCAAGTAAGAAATTATATCGCCACTGCCTGATGCTAACCTAGCACTACCATCCTCCCCTGGAGAAAACTTGCCCTCTCCCATCAGCCGTAATCTAGCATGTTCCACCTCCAGTGGCGTTTTTATATGTACAAAAGTGGTGGGGCACAAAAAACTTAGATGTCTATATATAAGCTTCTGCAGTGAGGTTCATGGCTGGTGAGGCTCTGACTCTTCAGGTTTACAAATATTATATTTTGACCTAAATCAAAATATCATATTATTTTCAAAAGCTTTTTTTGTCTGATGCTTCAATTAATTTTAAACAGACAGTTCAACAAAAGGATACCCAAAAAATGTAATTGTATCATTTAAATATTGAATTGTTCTCTCTTAGTAAGATCCCATTTTCAATCAAATTGCAGTCTTACCTTGACATGAAGATGAAGTCCATTTGCCTATCCTTCTGGACAAAAATCTCTTACTTTTTTGTAAAAGTCCTCCTTATGTTCTTGTAGTTTCAAAAGTCTATCATAAATCTGATCTAATCAATAGATTTATGATTCGAAAATTATAAAAGTAGGGTAGACATGTGGATATTATCCGGCTGAACAAAACGTGCATTTATCTAACAGGTTTGTTTCCCACAGATCTTATTTTGAGCTATTTTCTAAAATCCTATGGAGAAATATGATTGCTTTTTTGTGGAGGGAAGCCATGCGCAGTTTATTTCCGGGTTGTAGGACGCCTCACTGCAGCTCTCTCTCCTCCTCTTCACACACCACACTTTTCGCGGCACACGTACTTACAGCCAATCAGCTCTGAATTATGTGAGATGACGTATGGTGGGGATGGCAGCACTATGCCCATAATTTTTTTGCCACACACATTAAATAGGACAATACTCTGAGCATGCGCAGTGTAGTTTTTACAGTCACCATTGACTTAAACAGGGAGAGGGAGGGGCAGGATCGGGTTTTGTCCCACATGGCTCAAAACAGCTCAATAGGCACACACTAATTAGAAGAACACAGACTAAAACAGCAATGTACAGACGAATCAGATGAATAAACATGATCTTAAAATATATTTTTTAATTTATTTTTTGCATTTTTTTGTAATCATTACTTTTAATACTTTCTGCTGACACTAGGTGGGGCTGTGCCCCACCTGCCCCTAATGACCAGTCGCCACTGTCCACCTCACATTTCATCTTTTCCACCTCCAGCACCTTCTCCACCTCTAAACGCTTCTCTACCTCCTGCTGCTGACCCCTCATTTCCAACTGCAACCTCTCCTGATTAAACTGCATGGCCAAAAGCTCCTTTTGCTGTTCGAATGTCAAACCAGCTGTCTGAACCACTACTGGCCCGACCCCTGCCACACCAGACTCACTCTTCTGTAACACTCCCCGCTCAAACAAAGATGACACGATGACAGCTTTAATGTCATGTTTCCGCTTGCTCCCTACAACAGCAATTTCATAATGCTCTGCTATTTCGATCAACTGCGCCTTCTGGCAACCATCCAAGAAAGATACTGAGGGCGCATCCACAAACGCTGACAAAGAAGCCATAATATATTGCCTATACCCAATCAGAAAGCAAAGTACTCAACTGTCAACACGCCTGGGCGAAAAGACAAAACCCAACAGAGAATTCCCCCCTAACTGCCTTACCAAAATCTTCCTAATCTCACCTAGTCTTCATGTGGCTTGCGGCGGGTAATTACGCACTGGAACCCGGCGGATTTATGGAGCGACCTGCACGCAGGTAACACCAAGAAATCACGCGGATGTGCCCCCGAGACAGCTGTCCGAAAACAGCTGACACCAACCACGTCGCCACAACACTATGAAAAAAACAAAACAGACGGAACCCAAGGGGAAACGCCACTTAAGCCTAGCGGGGAAAATCTCTTTTACAAAAGCGTAACAAACAGCAATATCTTACCTTCTGATTGGCACACAAAACCTGATGCCATGTCAAACACTAAAGCATCCTGAAACCCAAAAGACATGATGTGTCCCCCAAATAGCAGCGCAGAGCCAGCACACAGCTGGACCACAACAATGAATCAGCTGCTCAATGAGCACTACACAAACTTTTTAAATAAATAACCCTTTGGACGAGCCCCCATTTGTTGCGACCTGGCTCAAAAGGCCACAACAAAAAGGAGACACAACATGTCAACGGGTAGGTAAAGGTGTTTATTTGCACAACACTGGTCAATTCAACACATTGGTTATACTCATCAGAGCCGGGTGCCTGCAGGAAAACAGAGCGAGAGCAGACAGGAGCAGAGAGGCTTTAAAATAGCTGCAGAGCACCAGACCCAGGTGCCCTGAGTTAATGCAATCACTGCAATCACTGCAATCAATGCAGCCAAGACAGGACAGCCACACCCTCTCCACTGATGAACCCACAGGGGCATCACAACATACAAGCCAAATATAAATGTCTGCCTTTCGTAAGAAACATGTACACAAGATCGATAGTTTATCCAATATACATGTAGATTTGTGCATATAGTGGCATGCTCACATGAAAGGGTCCATTCTCTGACAGGAATCCGTCCAGTGAGCTGCAGCCTGGGCCTCCATTCAGCCAGAGCACCAGGGGGTCTTTGACGGGGTCCCTCTGAGAAGTCACAAACCTGCAGAGGACCAGCAGGAAAAGCTTAAAAACTGCACATTTAACACACTGAAAGGTCGCATACCATCACACATGCTGCTAAACCGAGGAGGAGCAGGGTCTTAGCCTGCTGTTTCTCACCAATAGTGCAGAAACACGCCGGGTCGTGCCTGGAGGTACCCCGACCACTGGAGATAGTTGGGTTTGAACTTCAGCCCCGGCAGATGGGTCACCTCATCGGGAGGGAACTGAGCCCGGGAGCCGAGCTGAAACACGGCCAGCAAACACACCAACAAAGCGCAGGACGACATAACTGAACACCACTCACTTCTAAGACAAAACTAAACAACAAAGACGAGTTTCTTTGTCGCAGTGACTTCCTCCACCGTCTTCATCAGCGGCTGCTCTGTGTGAAGTTCCAGGACAAACCGGAATGTCATATGACTGCTGCAGTGCGTCACGTGATCAGCGCCTGACTCTACGCGGAAGTACTCAACAACACGAACACAAGAGAAACAGGTGTGTTTTGTGAAGCAGGTTTATCGATTTATCTCATCAGATTGTTATTAAGGCATGTGTGCAAAAAGCTATGTTAAGCATCTGTTGCAGACGTGCATTGGACCTCCCAGAACAACTTTGACATTTTATATCAAATTCATATTCACACTTACATATCTGTGCTTATGTTTGATATTTACCTTGTTATGATTTATTAAATACATGATTGGTTTGGGTTACTTACCTATTGAGATAAAGCGATTTTTTTATTTACTGTTATTTCTGTAACTTTTGCAAACTATAAAAATTGCCCAAATTAATAAATACTGAATGGAGACGTGAACTGTATGATTATGTACAGTATGTGCACCTATACATGGTGTATATATTGGAGTCATTCTACCAGAAACGTATATTTTCACATCTAAATATACTGAAGAAATTTTTTTTATTTCTTTCAATTTCAATAACAGGTCATATGGAGAACATGTTAAACTGTTAGGAACACATATTGTCCCATCTCAGCATGTTTTTATTATTGAATAAAATCCATTTTTAAATGAGTTTCACCCTTAAGATGTCAGCCCCTGTCACGGTAGAATGGTTTTCTAATATATTTTTTTAATACAAATAACATTTTCCCATTGATCACATGTCTCTGATTGTATCTAAAATGTTTTTTTTAATTCTTTTAAGAATTCTTAGCAACCTATCAGTTAACTGTAGTGGACGGTAAGGAACGAATAATCACCAGGTAGTCATATTGTTGTAAAGAAAATACTTTTACACCAATTATTTTTCTAAACAGCTGATGTGGATATGACCCCCCACCTCGGTTATCTCACTTAAAAAATAAATAAATAGTCAATTTCTGTATTATAATTTCCTGTGTGACAGGACTGACCCTGTCGTGACAGGGTTGACAGCTTGTGACAGGACTGACTTAATAGATTGAATTGATTCAGAAAATGTATGTTTGTATTTTTAAAATCTTGTTTTGGTAAGTTTTCCTTTTTAAAATTATTATCATGATTCAATATTAGACTGATGTGGTAATAATCATTTAAGGACACACGATAAGATTTGTAGTATTGATAACTGCTCGAAGCATTGTTTTAATAAACACATTTATTACAACATAACATTGGTAATCTACAATTCATTTAATTTAATAATTGATTAATTGTCAGCTTAAAAAATGTTTTTCAATTAAGTAATTTAACAGTTCAATACAATTTTTCATTTTGTTTTTTAAAGCGAACAAAACCAAAACACACTGCATGCATTTCATTATTTCAATTGGAGCTAATGACAAGTACGAGGACACATTTGTTCATCTTCTATTTTGCCAATTTGGCCCAAACTTCTTTTTTTATCTCATGATGACGGCTGGTCACAGGCTGAGGCGGTTGAATGAAACAAATTACATTCTCAAATAGGTACCAGATCATGTCTTCTCTTGCAGGCCAAAATAACCTGTTTACTCCAGCGCTGTGCATGCATTTCACTTGCACTTGAACCTCATCAATGGCAGTAATGATGCCAGCATAGAAGTCACTGTCATATTTTATTACACACCACTTTTTTATAACATCTGGACCCCATGTTATCTCTTCTATTGCTGGTGTGGTCGTTGGTTTGTTGAAGCTGAATGCCTTTGTGTTATAGCATGTGCAATGGTAAATCTTGTCTACAGTGCACATACAGCTCACATCCCAGTACAACATCTGTCCAGGAGAGGTTGTGAGAATCTGGTGTATTCTCATTGTTGAGGGGACTTGGGGGATGCTTTCTGGCATGTTCTTTATTGCCATGTCAATGGACTCTTCAGTTAAATAGAACAGTTTAATAGTGTGTTTACCAAGGCTTCAAACAGACCCATTGCATTGTTAATGTCACAGCCATGGCTCACCAAACGGTCTGCACTCCTTTTCAAAACCCCTCCCACACCATCCGGTGCCCCTTTGCCATGGCTGGCCTCAAAGAAATTCCATGTCCAGCTTGGAATCCTTTTTTGTGGAGTAGGGAGGTAAAGAGGTAAAAGTTCCCCTTCTGGCGGTACTGTGTACAAGGTCCGTCGCTAAGAAATGGACCACTGTGACAGCTGGGAAGACATCCCTAATGTAGGACAAAATAGGGCTTAGATGTTCCCATATGGCTGGGGGACCCTTCAGTCGTGATGATGAGATGGTACTGAAGCACAAGGGCTCATCATTTGATCCTACATATAAAACTCCAGTGTGCAGTGTCGCTTGCTCATGAGATGCACCAAAATGCACTGCCTGGATCTCTGATTATGTACATGTATAATTCTCAGAGAAGTCAACATGTATGATACATTCGTTCTCTGACATATTCCTCTTCAGTTCTCTGCAATATTTGTACTGTTGTCGGATGTTGAATGTATGGCGTTTACATTTCACAAGCATGGTAGTGAAGAGGTTGATGAGGTCATTGAGTGTCATCACGACCATTTTCTTTACGGTCTTCTTGAATGTTGTTTGAATATTGTTCTTGTCTTGTCCTTTAGTGTCCTCTGTGACCCACTGCATACATGCCACCCTGGCGCAAGCCTCATATACCCCGAGAAATGGGAAGTCTTTCTCTTTGCAGTCCACACAGTCATTGTACATACACTTCTTACTAGTTTTGTCACAACAGATCTGTGCCATCAATGTCTCTAGTTCAGGGGTGTTGAGCAACTTCAGACTGCAAAGCTTTTCCGCTACAAAGCTTAAGTTCTCATGCAGTTTGCACAAGCATGTTTCCCTATCTGAAAGTGATGGGTGCACAACCCAGTAGGGCCTAAGTCTGCAAAACAGAGAATAGGAAACTGATTTCCTTGAGTTCTCTGCCAAGTACTTCTTGTGCAGGTTGTGCAAGGTGTCCATGAGCAATCTTTTTTGCATCTTGACCTTGGCATGTGTTAAAGTCTGCTTTTTTCCTGTTGTTATACGGCTCACATCATCTCTTGTGTAAAAGGCTCTTATTTTGTTTTTATATTCTTCTTCCATGCGGACACATTTCTTCCTTGCGAAAGAGTATGGATTACCTCCTACTGTTTTCCATCGCCTTTGGGTAAAACCAAAGGTACTTTGGGCATATTTCTGCAACCTGTATTTTTTGACAATCCTCCCTGTCATCAGGTTGATGATTAGTCTTTTTTCCTGACTATTACCAGCTTGTTCAATATGACTTTGTAGATCTTCAATCAATGCGTCATGGAACAGGGTTTTCCTTGCATTTGGACTGCTTCTTGGCCTCAGATATCTAGCTTTTGTTGCTGGAGACCCTGACCTCATTAACACTCGTTGGAACCTTTTTTTATATCTCTCTTTTTCCTTTTTTTCTGCTGCTAAGGCGTTATTTAGTGCTCTGATTTTTATCTGCAGCTTCTTCCTCTCTTTCTTGGAATGCTTTCGCCCCTCTTTCTTTTGCCTGTAACATACATTGAACATACAGTTACATTCCCTTTAACAGTCATTCAAACATAAATTAAAAGGTCATTCTGTTTAGTTTACTTGATATTAAATTGTATATTACCATGTTATCACACTGATATTTTTAGACTGTAAAATAAAGTTGTAAAATGAAGGTAGTCTTTTCTAACCTTGAAAGCCCTGTCCCTGGCTCTGGTTCTGGAACTGTGGCTTTTCTCTTGAGCCTAGATCCTTGTTGTTGCTTTCGCCATAACTTACGCCTGTGTCTTTGCTCTCTCTTACTCAACTCGTCAATAGTTTTCCTACTTTCTTTTTTCTGCCTCCATCTCTCCTTCTCTCTCTGAAGATGTCTTTCCTTTCTATCAGGTTCTGCATTTCTGCGCGCCCGACACTGCCTCTGTCTCTCAGCTGCACTGACTGGAGCCATTAAACTGCAATTTCCATGAATTAAAACAAATTACTGCCATTGTTACTTAAAGATAATAACCCCCATTACAATATTAACAGGTATTTAAAGGTCCCCTATTATACTGTTTTTCATTCATATATATTAGAGGTCTCAAATATAGAAAATATGTCTCTGAAGTGTTTGGCTGTTTTGTGACAGTGCCTGACGTGACAGATCAGGGCTTGACGTGACAGGGTCTGACCGTCGGCCATTTTAACTGCCATTACTCAGCATTTCAACATGTTAGCTTAAAAATAATTAGCTTGCTAGCAAGGGATTTTAGTGAACTTTAATACATTTTTTAAAAACAAAAACAATATAATCCTTTTCTGGGATATTTGAACGTGACAGCACCTGACCCTTTAGCTTGTCCACGTAAAAAAAAGGTGTAAAAACAAGATTAAAATATTAAAATTCAAGGACAGAATTTACCCACTTCAAGGACAGCTCCTCCTTAGTCAGATGATGTAACTCCTTCACAATCATGTTCTTAAAGGTGTATTACACAATTTTTTAAGGAGTATTTTATGAAGCGTGACAGGACTGACCAAACACATGGGGACTGTTGTAAAACACAATTTTTTGTTCAAATGTAAGCATTATTCAATGTTTTCAATGAACTGTGGTAAAAGATAACAAGTTAAATGTGTTATTAATGACGTTTGTTTTTAAAATAAAAGTTTTTAGTTCATTAAGAAATGTAAACCCCTTGCTCCAATTTGGCTGGGGACAGGCCATTTTTAAGAACTTCTATTTTTCAAAAGTGTTTTTCAATAAATTTAAAAAACACCTAAAACCCTAATGAATCACAGACCTATGTACAAACAACTCACAAAACACAACTATCACATCAGTTTTAAGATATTTTATGGATTATAATTTGTATTCACTGTAACAATCCCAGGACAGATAATATACGTTTCTGGTCGAATGTCCCATTGAGTGTTTTTGATAAAAAATAAATATATTTTTCATTAAATGCCTGGTTTTGGTAACATCTGCAATTGTGAAAGTAGCTTGACTCAATTAGAAAATGAAGTTATGTACAGTATGGTATAGATAGATTCTTAGATTGTATTTCTTTACACAATAAAATAAAGCAGCAGAAAAACTAAAAAAGATTTGTTTTAAACCCGAGAAGCCTACTCCCCTCAATCCATCAACAACAGTGAACACACAACAACATTGTTTAATCTAAATCTAAAAAAGGTTACATAAATAGAGAAAAAGTCTCATTATCGTATCTGATTTAAATATTTATATAAATACAATTTCATTTCATTTTGGTCAGGCGAACATTGGGGCTTTTATTGTGAAGGCACGCCAGGTATATATCCCTCCGCCCCCTCTGCTAGTACCGGGAAAAAATACGCGCCTAACTCCACAACAGTGGGTTTGTCGGTGTTCACTATCAGTAAAGGTCGGACATTATCATTTACATTGGCTTCAGATTGGATTTAAACAGAGGGTAACTGTACCTCCCTGGTATGTTTGAATCTTAAGTTAATGACCATCGGTTGTCGTCCTCCACACGTTAGCCCAGTAGCGTCTGCAGCAGCAGCAGCTGCTCTGTGGAGCCCCGTTACCGCTGATCCAGAAACAGCCCAGGTAAAACTGTTTAACTGTCCTAACTTTCAAGATAAGCGCAGATATCATGTAGAGACTATAATATATGTTTGAATGCAGGTGTTAGCGCTACTTCGAATAACTTAATAATGTATACAACAAATTTTAAAAAAGGTACACAAACCGTAATTTAGTGTTTCCGGTGAAACCCTTTCATAATAAATCTGCGCCAGAGAGAAATTAACCGTGTTGAAAGTGAAGGCGAAAAGGGTTTTTCTTCACCAAATATTTTGCAAATAATTAAGTTGAATCCTTATATAACTGCACATTATTGCTCATACAGGAAACCCTGATAAGATTTCATTTCGATCCCAAAATAGTATCCAGTTGTTTGAAGTGGGCTGATTTGTGATTGTTGTTTGTGATTTGCTTTTCTCTCCCGTTCAGCAGAATGGATCCTCAGGGAAGCCCACCAAGTCCAGACCATGGTCCCGATGTAGAGACAGCAACACCAGAGATAATCCCTACATACAAGAGGAGTCTGAGGAGCCTTCATATGCTCGCTGTAAAGTTTGTCAGATTGTTACAAGAAGCTAAGGGCGGTGAACTGGACCTCAAAGATGTAAGTGAACAGCGTCGGTACAAACAAACATCCATTATTTGATAAATTAATGGAATGACTGTTAAGTTGGTCTTACCTACAGAACACTTAAAACAATATATCTTACATCCATGTTTGTAATTGATCACAATGTGCACTGGGAAACCAGGCTTTTTTGCAATTATGTGATGCTTTGTCAGAAATGTGTAACTGTAAAGATTTCATTGTTTCTGTCTACTTTAACCAAATGTGTAATTTAATGAAAATGTTTTTTATCTATCTAGCTTGTTTAAGAAACTTAGCCTCAATGCAGCATTTGAAGTGAATTGCTTTCAACCTCCATAGGAACACAGGATTATCACTCGTAAATAAAATTGGAACAAAATACATTTTTGAACGAGGCAACGTGTGTAGTTGTTTTTTCCAAAAGCTATCTTAAAAACACTTGTCGTTTCCAAAATAAGGCTTTTCAAATGTATACAGAACAATAGGTCAACTAATAATGCAACATTAAGATAATCTACAAACAAAGGGTCAATTTGCTTTATTTGTGTTCTTTCAGGCTATCAGGGTCCTGGCTGTCGGTCAAAAAAGGCGAATCTACGACATCACAAATGTGCTGGAGGGTGTTGGTCTAATTGTGAAAATCTCCAAGAGCACTGTGAAGTGGAAGTAAGTCTTTAGCTCTAAATTGTGTGCATGCTTTTGGATCTTCTGTAGATAAATAGTGTGGGGCAAAATATGTGACAATAAATAAAACATTTGCTTTTTTCTCAAATAGGGGTACCATTACAGGACAACGTGAAGAAGTGTTTAGCAACAAGCTATTCAAGTTGAAGTCCGAGGTGGAGGATCTGGAGATGATGGAATCCATGTTGGACCAGCAGAAGCAGTGGGTGGAACAGAGCGCCAGGAACACGAGAGACGACTGCAGTGAATATCCTTTTGACAAAGAAATTGAAAATGTATGTCATGTAGGAAATGTTAGATTACTGCTGCTTTAACAAAAAAGAGATGTCTGACAGCCATTTTAGCAGATATAATATTGCATTTTAATTTAAACCTTGACTCAAATCAACTTTGACCTATGTGAATCATGAAGATCTCTGCAACTGCTTCAGTGGTAAGTTACGGGTACTCTTTTTGTGTGCATATTTGTCTTCCATCAATAAGCTAAGCAAAAGGGCAGTCCATGTCCTGCTTTTTGAAGAATATATCTGCGGCACATTTCTTCCTCTATCTGCGTTACACTGATAGATCCATCTGTGTGAACCCTTAAGAGATGAAACGTTACAAGTATATTCAAACCTTCTAAATGTAAATGTCCACTTAAACGTGTTAGCATTGGTGACTTTTGAGGATATTTTTGGATAGTCCTAGATTAATCCAGGATAAAAATTAAAACAGTAAAAGAGCAATATTTTTTATCAGGGTATGTTAATAATAATAATACATTTTATTTCTATAGCGCTTTTCTTGAACCCAAAGACGCTTTATGTGCAGCTCAGAATCAGTTGATGTTTTTGCAATTTAGTGTATTTACTAGTTGGACTGATATTAAAACGGCTGGACAAACACTGTCCAAAATGCGTGGCCACAACAGCTTACATTGTTGCAGTTTTAAGACGAATAAGGCCCACTCAAATTTATTTTTATTTTTAATATATAAAGACCAGACAAAATTGTCATTTGAAAGGATGTTCACCCTCTTCTGTCCTCAGGTAATACTCTTTTGGCAGTACGAGCACCAATAGGAACACAGCTAGATGTTCCCATTCCCAAAGCTGTAAGTGCTGCATTACTGGATCCTTCTGTAGATTCTTCTCTTTGGCTTTCTTAAATGTACATGGAACAATTGGGTATTTGCCTACTTTTCATTCTTCAGGTCCAGAACAGCCCAGCAAAGTACCAGATTCATCTGAAGAGCATCAATGGGCCGATAGAAGTCGTACTTCTCAACAAACTCTCTGTCAGCTCTGCTCCTGTCGTACTGCCAGTCCCGCCGCCTGAAGACATTTTACAGAGAGCAAAATCAGTAATGTCCACTTCAGGCGATACAGGAAGCAGTATCAAACCGCGTCAGGCTTCAGCTAATAACAAATTAAGCAGGGCAGCCACAGAGAAGATCCGACACCTTATGTCATCGTCATGTTTCAACACTCAGCTAAACCGAACTGGTGCATCTCAATGTGAGTATTTTATTTGGTACAATTTCCAATGCTGCCACACGTTTTTATCCATATCGATTTATCTTCAGATCGTTTAGTGGTTTGTTCTATATAATGTTATAACATTTTGAAAATCACCTTCAGTTTCTCAAAGTAAAATTAGAGTGCTGAAAAATCTACAAAACCATTTCTGTAGTGCGTTTTTTTGTAAAAATGGAAACTTTAAATTACGTTTATGCTTGAACTCTGCCAGATAGCTCTTCAATCAAATGTTTTAAAAGTGCATTTTATATGAAGTTAAGGACTTTTATTTATTCATAACAATCATCAGGCTAAGACTGGACCAACCTACTGCTGGTACACTAAGAGTTAAGGCTTTTGGTATCGTTCTCCTTATCTGAAGTTATCTGATAATGCAGCAGCAAAGCTCTTCCTTTTTTGGACAGATGCAAACCATTTATCTTTTTATACATTAAAGTGGTTGCTGGTTCTGCGGTTTCTTTCTCTGTGATGATTATCGATTATTTCTTGGACAAAAATAAATCATTCATGCATGTTTCTTTCAGTGCCGCTTTCACATTCATGTTTTTTTTAAAAATCTTTTATTCAGTGCAAGATTTATCAAAAGAACTGCGGGACCTAATAAACCCAACCAAAGGTGGGTTCCTTGATATATTTCTTTGTTAAAAAAATTGTGTTTATATTCTTATGTAAGTGTATTTGACATAAGAATGTATAAACTAAGTATGTCTTCCCGCATTTTATAGAAGTAATAGGCGCAGATCTGATCAGAGAGCTTATGGCCTCAGAAGGTTAGTGCACTTTATTTTCTGACTTCATATATTTAATAGTCATATCCATCACGTATTGATATTTGTATTAATCACATTTGCCTCTGCGCTTCAGCTTTTTCCCCGCTGCTCTCTCCGCCTCCACCTGGAAGCGAATGTGCTTACAATCTGGATCAGAGGGAAGGCCTCTGTGATGCCTTTGACGTCCCCATGCTCAATGTTTGACCATGAACTCCTGTGTTAAGGGCTCCCCAAGTAAACATTATACTTTGAAAATGTACATAGTTTTCTGTTTTTAAATTGTTATTTACAAATAAAAACATATGATTTTGAATATTGTCTCCAATTAATTTGTTTTATTAACAACATTATCCAACACAAATTGACATTAGTATTCCTCCTCTGGGGATCATTAAAGTCGGAACAGAATCGCACGGCAATCCATCCAGATATTGCTGAGAAATCCGCTTTGACCATCACAACAGCAATGTTGCTAGAATGGCTAAAATAATTCAGTATGTCTAGAATTGTTTAATTGATAGGTGCTGTATAAAGAAACCGAGACAGTCGAGAATGCCGTGCACAGAGTCGTGAATCAGGTAACTACTGAATGCCCATTGGCAAACTATTGATAAGAATTACTACACATACTAGAGAAGCTAGTCAATCCCATCAGAAAAAGTGATAGAATATGGAGTAATTGTATTATCCAGGAAGAAAGCGACATGAAATAAGCAAAGATTCAAATGCAGGTGCAATGGCATTCGCCAATTGATAATCCATCAAGTGTAGAACTCTCTTGATTTTACATACATACAGTGCACTTATTTCTGCAGTTTTTCTGCCACAATTTATGTGAATAAAATAATTGTTCAGCTCTTGTAAGTAAATTATGGCAAATTTCAACTCATTTTAGGGTAATTTCACGTATTTATGATTTTATATTTCCATTGGAAGATGGGTCAAAAAGTTGGACTCAAATCAAGCACTCCAGTCTCACCAGCTGAGTATTTTGTTGATTGCTGTCCAGGGGTGGAAGAAGTGCTTAGAAAGTAGAAGTACCAGTGTAAGAATACAACAAATGTTACTCTAGTAAAAGTACAAAAGTATTTGCATCAAAATATACATAAAGTACCAAAAGTAAAAGTAGTTAATATGCAGAATGGCCCATTTCAGTTTAATATAAATTACATGTTTTGATTCTAATTATTTATGTATTAAAGTGTTATCAAAGCTGGTAAAGGTTAATTACTTTGTACGCTGCAGGGTAGCTTGTGGATTTTACTCCATGTTACTAAAGGACTCAGAGAGACACGAGGAGAGTTGGAGCTTTGATGTCAAACACTGATGGTTTATTTGGAGTTTCGGCCGGAGAGTTGACAAGACAGGTGGTGTGTCACGAGTTGACACAGCGGTTGCCAAACCATTTTCTGAAGAACTCTTTCTGTAGCTCGAGGTTTTATCTAGTTCGGAGTGTAATAATCAACATTCTTCATCAGTGAGACTAAACAAATATGGACCCTGAATCTAACTAGAGCTCTCGTCCATAGAAAAGAATGTGCGCCAGGGAACCTTCGTCCCTGAACAGTAAACTACCTCATGACGGCTTGTGCTCTGTCATAGACTGGCAACAACAATGCGCCCAAGCTGCTCCTCCTTAAAAGAGATAGCAGCTATACCCATAGATAGACTGTATATATAAAAGCTATACCCAAGGCCTTAGACCTATGCCATGGGAAAGGAGACAGTGAGAGAGGAGAAAATGATGAACTGTGTCAAAGGTTGAATACCTAGGCAAATTATTCCCAAACAGTGTTGATTATATTTCACAAAATCTGCAAACTACAGATACATGTAGTGTAGTAAAAGTACACTTTTTACCTCTGATTTGAAGTGGGTTAGAAGTACAAGCAACAACATGTAGATACTCAATGTAAAGTCCCCCAAAATGTAACACAAGTGCAATACTTGAGTAAATGTACACAGTTTATACACCACTGTTGCTGTCAAATATTAGTGTGGTGCTTATGTCTTGCTTCACTGCAGAGTCAAAGCAGGTGCAGCTCGCCCTCTCCTGGATGGAACACATTACAACGTGCTTTTGTCACTATGGCAACACATGTTTGAAACTAAAGGCTTGACTCTCCTGAGTGCTAACTGCTATGCTAGCTAGCTTCTCAAAACGACCAAACATTTCCCTTATATCTGAGTAGGTGGTGCAATATAAGATGGTGAGTAAAGCGTTGTTTAATATAATTATAGCAACCATGTAGGTTTGTACTGAACCGACTACAGTTAGCAGCTATCGCTTTGAACATCATATTGTTGCTAGAAAAAGTATACTCTGTTTACTCATTATGCAGATTGGCCAATTGTAGAATAGTAGTATATCTATGTTTTGAAGATAATTATTTATTAATTTAAGTGCTATCAAAGATGGTAAAGGTTGAGCATGTTTTAATATCTTTGTAAGCTGCAGGGTGAATTGTACTCCTTGTGTAAATAAAGTGTTTGGTAAGTAAATAAAGGTATCAATTAATGTAGTGTAGTAAAAGTACACAATGCACCTCCTAATTGTAGTGAGCTAGAAGTACAAAGCAATACATAGAAATCCCCAAGAAAAGTATATATACCTCAAAATTGTACTTAAGTAGTAACTAGTTACTTTACACCATTGGTTGTTATTAATGTTACATTAATTCAGCAATGTTTAAGAAATATGCTAGTGTGAGTCACTTTTAAATAGTTTCTAATGTTTTGAATTTTTACAGCCTCCCAAGAAGAAAGGATCAAGTAAAAAGCCTCCAAAGGCGATGACTCCCACACTTATTGATGGCCTTTCCAAAGATGAGATGTCCAAGGAGCAGGTCAGAGCTGACGTGTGTGTGTGTGTGTGTGCGTGTGCGTGTTTGAAAGTGCTGAGGGATCGTGAGGGATGCTTGACTGCTCAATTGGATAGGTGGTGTTTAATAAGTGAGCTATAGTATTGCACTTACATACAGCTAGAGGTTTCCCAAAAGACACAGAGTGGTTAAAATCAAACCTGCAGAGGCAGAGATAGCCTGACTTCCCTAGAAAGGGTTAAGTTAACACTGGATACTACTGTACCCATGTCACATTATCGTCACAACCCCCATCCCACTAAAGGCCTGTCAAGCTCACATCCCTGAGTTTGGGGCAAAAGTACCAGGATGTCCTACTATATCCGTTCACATTTGCAGTTTGCAAGCTATACATCCATGAAGCCAGCATGCTTTTCTAGTAAATTGTATTGTACAGCCTGAGTAGCTCACTTTAACAGCAAATTGGACTTTAACATGTTCAATATATAATCTGCCCCTTTGGGTTAACAACAACCTCTCATCCACACTGTCTGGCTCAGATGTGTAAACTAAAATATATTTCTGTATTTCAGCTGGAAGAACATATTGTGCGCCTTCGAGAGGAGCTGGATAGAGAGAGGGAAGAGAGAAACTACTTTCAGCTTGAGAGGGACAAAATCCACTCGTTTTGGAAGATCACAGAAAGACAACTTGAGGAGGTCAAGGCTGAGCAGAAGAACTTTGATAAGGACATAGAAGAGGATGAGGGGCGCCACCAAGTAGAGATCAAGGTGAAGTTATTACTCAAGTGTTTTGCAGCTCGACATGCTAACACAGAGAACTTGTATGGAAGAAACCTCCCTTCATATGCAGGTCATTGCTTACTGAATCGCTTTATTAAATGCGCATTTTATTCATTTTCTGCACCAGGTCTATAAGCAGAAGATGAAGCACCTCCTGTGTGAACATCAGAACACCATCTCTGAGTTGAGAGCAGATGCTTTAGTCTCCACTCAGGCGGGGCAAAAAGAGCAAGGAGAGCTGGAGGCTCAGCTTCATAAGGACATGAGGGCCATCATGGTCGACAAGCAGGAACATGATAATGAAAACCTCGTCAAGGAACTTGATCTGGTTTGTAGTTCAAACTTTTGTTATTGCTACACATAAAGATCTGTTGAAGGAATATTTTTCTTTACTCTGATTTATTTAAACAAGTAAGCATACATCAGTTTTGTTGTTATTTCAACAGACAAATGCTGAAGAAATTGCTGAAATAAGGGACAGCTTGGAGAAGAAACTCGCAGGTAAAAAAAGCTAATCTCATTTTGATTTGAATGCGTCACCCAGTGCTGTAAAAACTCAATTGGAGCTGTCTTTTTTTTGTCACTAATTGAGTAGGAATCCAAGCCAAGTATGAGAAAAAGATGGATTCACTGCCATTAGAGCTGTACAACATGAGGAAACAAGAGACCAGTCAGAGAGAAGCACTTTGGAACAGACACATTAACACTGTTATAGAAGACCACAACCAAACCTTTAAGGAAGCTAAAGCTCTCGTTGATAGCATGCCTCAGGATTTGGATACGAACAAAACAGTCAAGGTATTTATTGACGCATTATACATCTTTGTCAGACTGAAGGCAAATACATTTCAGATGTTTTGTTCAGGCTCGATGCTGATTTTTTCTTTTAGTACTTATTGATTTACTCTATAAAGTGGAAACAATTATCAGGTTTTGTTTTATTTACATGGAATGTTTAATTGTTTTTTCTTAGCTACTAATAGAAGCCATGAAGTGCAAACAGAAGCAGAAGATACAGGATTTGGCCGATCTTTGTGACGATAACAAACGTCTCACTGAGCTTCTATCCAACGTCAAAGAGAAAATTGTTAAAAAGGAGAAACAAATCCATAACTATACAAAGAAAACGGTTTGTTGGTTACAAGGATCGTTGACATGTGTTAATACCAGTGACCTAATCAGTAGAAGCATAGCATACTGTACATGCGCACAAGGTCAATCTTTGAAACTGTTTTTGACAGGATTTCTATGAAAAGCTAAAAAAGAATGAGCTGGATGATCAGAAACGGGAATGTGAAACTATGGAACAGAAATTCAGCAAGGTAAGATTGAAATTGAGTTGCGCTGTCATGTAGCTCAAATGTTGAATGTGGGTCAAATGCTAGGGATTTCTTTTGGGTATTTATGTGAATGTTTTTGCATTTGTTTGTGTGTGAACGTCACACAGCTTCAGCAGGAAAGGGATGAGCTATACAAGACTTTCACTGAGAACGTTCAGAAGGTGCAGCATAAAGTGAATCTGAAGAGCTCGCTGCTGGAGTTGAAGCTGGAAGGCCTGACAGAGAGCGTGGAGAAGACGCAGGCTCAGCTCTTCTCTGTGATTTCTGCCTCTAACATGGACCAAACTGCCATTAATGGGGTCTCTAACAAAATTGAGGTACATTTCCTTTAAAACAGTATGTATATCATGCACGTTGCATACATTGCACGTTTGTACAATACTTTCACAGTAACATGTTTTTGTTTGTAGGAATATCTTGACTCCAGTAATAATTCCATCAAGAAGTTACAGAATAAAAGAGCTCAGATTTCCAAGGTTAGTAATTTCTTTATTTGCTGTAATGCATATTTCACAAATGATGATATTCACTTTGATGCTGTCGTGCTGTTCATACTCATGTGTATCCGGCAGGCTCGTAAGGATTTGCTGCTGACCTACGAAGCAAAGCAAAGATCTCTCCGTGTCTCGGTGGAGGGGCTTTGAGTTAAACCCTTTGAGAGCAGTCTTGCCGGGAAACAGTCTCTAACAGGACTTGGAACTTGGATTTGCCCAAAAATGGGAAGTAATATACATTGTAAGAGTTAACAGCAAATCATCTCTTTTTTTTGCCTCTGATATCATTTGTCTGACAGCTTTGTCATATTTTATATTCATACAGACACACAATTAATATCATCATGTTTTCTTAATTTGAAAATATATATTTGGAATAATGTAGTTATGAACAGATAGGAGTTTACCCTCGGTTTAAACTAAGAGGTCCATCATGCCCTTTGTTCAAACTGCCCTCCGAAGGCAGAGAGGAATAACTGCGGAAAGACTGCAGACAGAAATGTTGTAGTTTTCAAACAGACCAGCAAACTGTAACACATACAAGTTTGAATGCCTTAATTTGTCGATTTAGTTGACTTCTTAAAGTCATTGTCATAGACCAAAAATAGTATCTAAAAGCTACTCCTAAAGGAAAACCTCGTGCCTCTCCACAAAATGTCTTTCTTTTGAGCTAGTTTGTTTAAGTATAGTCTTTTTGATTATATATTTTTCCTTATGATCCTTTTGCAAATGGTTCATATGGATTTAATACATTTTTATTATCCTGTGTGTCAGGCCAGATATTCAGAAGTATAACAAAATGTATATAATAATTGAAACTAGGATTAAATAGTTACTGAAAATGTGCATCCTAAGTGAATGTTTAAAGAAAGGGTGTGATGTTTTTTCCATGGTAAAAGAGATTCTGGTCTTAGCTCAGTTTGAGCCAACATTTTAGTTTTCACTACTAGTAGTAGTAGTATATTTTTGTTGTAATGAGTCACTGGATTTAGCTTCTAATGGAGATTTGCAGCCATTTCACTTATTAATCTAAACTGATATAAAGTAAGGAAAAACTAAATGAGTTGAGAAAATGTGCAACAATTTCCCTATCTGTCAAGAGTATGAACTAAGCTCTGGGGATGACATAAAGTTATGTTTTAGTTTTATCTCCAACTAACAGCTCACATCTTTCAGGGATACATAACATTGTAAAAGCATTTTCATCAAAACACATTTTCTGTTTTGGATAATCTGCTCTATTTCGGTCATTTGTGCAATCTGTCTGCACTTAAAAAGTGATGGGTTTTATATCAGGCTTAGAGGAAATATAATACATACCTAAAACCTCTTTAAACATTATGTCTCATAATTACAGAGATGATTGTCTTTTGTGTCTTTATTATGCTTTTTGTGTTCCCTGGATGAATAAATAAACACGAAAAATGATTTTGGCTTTCATCATCACTCTGGAAAACAGTACAGGTCATTCTCAACAGTAGGTAACATTCATTTAACAAACAAATACAAATATGACTAAGGGACTGATCTATCAAATTCTAAATCACAATCTGATTTTTTGTCTAAGCACTTAAGATATTCATTTATATCGGGATGTTAAGAGCATTCCATGGAATATAACAAAAAGTGTATCTCGAGCCGGTTTCTCAAACTTACCTACCCCACCTTTAAGGTTCCTTGTTAGATTTAATGGAAAAAATCTGGTTGCTGAAAAGCTGTGTTGGAAACTTGTATACTAGGCAAGGCAAGGCAAGGTTTACTTTTAATGGGGTAATTTGACGTGTTGATGTTTTTCTACTTCCATTGATGGGGGCAAACAGTTGGAGTCAAACCAAGTATCCAAATCTCAACAGCGAGTTTCACCAGCAGATTTCTTCCCTGCCTGAGTTTCCAGCAGAGACAGGAGAAACGTATAGGGGGGTCGGGTTTCTCATTGAATATTCCTGTAGTGAATCGAGCCCTGCAGCGATGAGTGATCGCTGTTCTCTGTGGTATCAATAATACAGGAGGATGTTATTGTCCCTGTGCAGGCCACAGTATCATACAGCTAAAGCAAGTGGAGGGAGGGGGGGGCCTTTCACTGGGCCCTCTTGGGTTTCAGGCCCGCAGACAGGGGTCTGACTCTTGGGAGCCGGCTGCTGCACACTTGCACAGGGCTCAATTGTAAGTCTACCTGGCGGAGGGATAAATGTGTCCAAACACTGACAGCCTGCACAGTCTCTGTTGGCCCCGTCCCCGTCGGTAAGACTACACCCCCAACCAACCCAGAGTCACAAGATGAGTCCCAGCTGAGAGATGGCTCAATAGAGAATCAGTCAGTGGGGGACATCGGACAGTTAGAGAATGGGATATATTTCCTGGGTGTGATTAACATGATCCAGATTTTCACCTTGTTTGAGCACCTAGCTGAGTGCTGTGACCTTCCTATAGCCTCGAGGTGGCCCAAAATACTGGACTGGAACACAAAACCATATTTAACAGATACAAATACAAAATTCCCCAAATACTGAGGAATATGTCCAGTATCTCCCTTTCCCCCCCGCACATTGTCATAAAAAGCAGCCATACTGTAGCAGGGCAAGATAACTCTTGAAATATGAGGTCAATCACCAAACCCCAGAGAGAAAAAAGTGCAGCAACCATCAGCTAAAAGCACAGAGAGTTTGAGGACACAGGTGGGAGGGGTGCAGAAGAGAGAGTGAGAGGTAGAGAAAGTCGGAGTGATGGTGAAACAGAGAGTGACACTCACAAAGAGGTCAGCTCCCAGTGTGTTGATACGGCTGAGGAAGACGTGCTACCAAAAGCTTAAGGGGTTCTCAACGAAATGATGGATTGTAACTTTTGGTGAGTTCAGAAATTATTCTAACCAAATGTTGTGACCTCTGGTATTTTCTTTATTATTTGTTATTACTTTACACTGGAAAACATGTATCTTTGCTATTCTTGTCAAAATAATCTCCTAAAGAGCGGTTTCTTTAAATGTATTTTAGTTTCATACTTCATAACTTTTATACATGGTCAATTTTCAGCATCACTTCCCTTTAACCTGTCATCGATGTTGAGTAAATTAAACGGTAAATTACTGATGCTTGTTTTAGTAACCGCGCAGTGAGAGTGGTAAGGTGATGTGGTGGACGGTCATTAACTTTTAATATCCCCTCTCTCCGTAGAGGTACCTTACTCCTTGAGTCCTCCCTATTACTTAAATGAAAAAAGCAGCACCTATTTAATCACAAAACTTTGTGAAATCATTAGGAATAACAGCCTGAGGAAAAATATGTGACACCACTGTGTCACTTTGTGTGCTGCCATGAGATGAAGATGGCTGAGAAAGGGCCAGGGATGGCCACTCTTACATTCACCAGCATCATCGTCTGTGCTGTTTTACTGGGGCAAGGATCCCCTGAGAAGACAGGTGAGTGCATCACCAACAATTTAGCTAAATAAAATATTTAGTTCTTTATTACAACATGTGTTTTTTACATGATGCTGGGTTTAAGCTGTATCTACTGGGACTTTTTCAGAAGGTGGTAAAAAGAACCAGAGAGATGCCATTCTGAAGGAAATCCTTTCAAAATGGAGTGCAGGAAGTGGCTGGAATCCTCAAAAAGCTCCCCCAGAAACAAACAGTGAACAATCGATGCCCCCTTGGGTAAGGAATATCATGGGGGGCCTAAAGACACTTGGCCTCCTCCCCAGCAAGAACCTGCCTTCGTTGAACAAGCCATTTGACCGGCACCGTCTCTCGGGGTTCCTCTACAACATCTCTCTGTACCTCCAGGAGATGGGTGCTGAGCTGGAGGAGGCCCCCGCGGAGCCAGACGAGGAGCAGCTGTGGGAGAAAGTGCTGCATTACTTCCTGCAGTCTGAAGGCAGCGCTGTACTGAACCAGTGGAACGACCAGGCGCCACCTCGACCCAGCATCAGAGTGCAGGACTGGTTTCTGTCCATGCGGGGCAGCCCTCACTGGGACTGGCTCCTGGGGCTGCTGCAGAGTCTCATCAGTCTGTCGGAGCGGCAGCCCCAAAAGCCCCTGTTGTCTTTCCTATCGCAGAACTGGAGGACAGTGAGTGCTGTGTTTGAGGCTACACTTCAGGCTCTGCTCAGTGGCACCTACGGCCAGGCCAGTGCAGGCCTGCAGGGCTTCATCTGTGCTCTGAAGGGTCACAGTGACTGTGCCTTCAATGTCAGCTGGCTCCAGCAGCTGCTGCGCTTCCTAGAAACACGCAACTGGAAGCCTGTGGTGAGTCTACACCCAGCAGGGGAAGGTGCTGAACACAGTAGGAGCTCAAGTGCATTTGGACGATTTAAGCCCTTCAGCCTGCCCCCTGAGGCCATGAGGCAGGACGGGTTGTCTGGTAACGCATCTGTGGAAGACGCAGAGGAGGAAGATCCAGACTTCATCCAAAGTTTCCTGCTTCAGGCGTTATCACGTTCAGGTGGAGGAGAGAGAGGGGGCCCAATGGCACAGAATAATCTGGCTCTGGTTCAGACTTTGGATGGGCTGCGGAGCGGCCTCCTACACAGGGTGGGTAGTTCTGTCTACAGTAACCTGAGGAAGAAAGTGTTACAAGTTACCATGGCACTGCTTGATGATGTCAGCAGCCTGGTGGACGTGCCGCAGCCCAACATTCGGGGCCGGTGTTCAGTCGGTGAGTATGTGGAGGAGTTTGCCCTCAAGGTTATTTTGCTAAATCATAACAGAACTAAAAGTTATATTAGAGTTATATTATTACACTTCTCACACACATGTGATCATAGATTGATTAATTTCTTACATTTCCGTGTCAATGGCAAATCCTCATGATTGCAAAATTACAGCTCATTTCAACACTTCTAAACAAAATATTTTTGCCTTAACTCCCAAGCATAACAGATAAATACTGTTACGAAAAAGGTGCCCTGAAGTAAAACTCAACTTTTATTGACATCCAGCCAAAACACATCAACAAAAGTAATCTCTTATGTCCTCGTAGGCAGGAGAGGAAAACAGAACGTGAAACTCATTCTTAAATTCACCAAATAACAAAACTAACAAATAAAGTCTGTCCTTCTCTGAAGTGGCATTCAATCTGCCGGTCTATAGGGATAATGATTATGTTCCTGAGTGTTAGTCTGTGTCCATAGGGTGCTTTTACCCTTTTTTTCTCTGTAATTCACAAGTTCTAGTATATCATAGAATAATTCATTAATTAGGAAAAGGCATCCTCCCATTTTAGCTTACATACATAAATGCTGCTGCAGTTAGATACACATATCTATATCATAACTGTATGCTTTGCTTCAAAGGATGGTTGTGGAAAAAGCCATGATACTTCAGACATTAACTAAATAAAATGCTGATTCAAACGTAAAGAAGTAAATCATGCTTTATTTTGTGTTATTCACAGAGAAAAAAACAATGTAAAGAGCCTCATAAGTTTGGCCCTGGTTTCACCTGAAAGAAGACAGTGACTGACACTGCTTTAAAATCTTTATAATCATCCCGGCCGGTGAAAGCATCTGTTGATAGCTCAGCTAATCTCTTTATCCTCCCATTGATGTCGGTAACATTATATCTCGGGCATTGTTAGCTGAGCAGGCATGGTCGTGTACTGCAGGAGCTCCCAGCTGCCCTTTTCCACCGCTCATATACTCTGATTATCTGTAAATATGTTCTTTTCTTTTGTCTTTTTGAAGGTGACCTGAGACAACTGATCTTATGGTGAGATATCTTTAGGAATATAACCTTTTGTGTAATTGAAACCACATATTTGACTAAGCATAACAATTGTTTTTCCATTGTTCTGTTCACACCCATGCAGGGGGATAAAGCATAATGTGACGTGGAACACTCAGGCTTTGGGCGTTAGCTCCCAGGGTCTTCCAAGCTCACTGCCTTTCCTGTCCTGTCCCTCCACGGAAGGATATGAACAAAGATCACGACTAACACCGGCACACTCATCTCCAAAAACAGGCCCATCCTCACGAAAAATCCCAGATCAAAAACACCTTCACGACCTCCCTACCACACCTGAGCGCTCCCAGCCACAACAAGGCAGAAGAAGAGAAAGCAGCATCCAGCAGAGAGAAATGGAGTACTTCACCTCTATAGAAATCCTGGAGGCAGCGTGTAATGAATCCATCCCGGGGTTAACAGGCGTGTCCAACTTCACTGTGTTCCTCTACTGTAAACTGTTTGAAGGGGAAAACGGGTCAGTTGATCCTGCTGAGGCCCACATGGGTCTCGACCTACATGCTACGTGCTCTGATGCAGCTTGGTACCTGTCTGCTGCTGAGGAGGACTTCCTCTGGGTTCATGTGTGCAGCGAGTACTTTGCCCATGAATTTAACAACACAGTCTGTGCCAACTCGTCTTTCTGGCTGCAGAGAGCACATCAGGTAATGATAAGAGATAAGATAGAGCTTTATTGTCTCCTTTAGGAGAAATTTGTCTTGGGCATCGAGATAATACACATAAAACATTCAGGTCAATCAGTCATAGATACAGAACAGAGATCACATATCACATGGCAAAGAAACAAACAAGAAACATACAGGTACAGCACTTTCCCTATTGCACATATCCCTATTGCACATACATAATCAAATATTGCACTTTTCCCTATTGTATTTATACATAAATCAAATATTGCACCTTCCCTACTGTATTCATACACAAATCAATATTGCACTTTCCCTGCACCTATGCATAGTGTCCGTCAAATTGCACATATCCCTATTGTGTCCATACCTATTTACACATAATGCACTTCCCCTATTTAACCTTCTCGATTGCACAAACTACACTGTAAACATTGCACCTCACAAAAATTGTTTCTGACTGTTCAGCAGCTTGATTGACAGCGGAACAAAGGAAAACGTATACCTGTTCAATTTACAGTTTGGTAATCTATACCTTCTGGCCTCGGCAGCAACTCAAACTCTCTATACAGGATGTGTTTGGGGTCGCATGTGATTTTACGGCCTTGCTTTCTCACCATCTCCTCAAATATCTCCTGAAGAGAGGATGGTGGAAGCATGCAAATTATTTTTCCAGCCCTTTTTATCAAGGTCTGGAGTTGTGATTTAGACTTAACTGACAAGTTACCAAACCATGTTGTAATGAGCCACCTTGTGATAAAGGTGTTCTGGGAAGTTACTATTAAATATCTGTGGCACAGTTAGGGTCAGGGTTAATGTTAGGTGTGCTGAGAACATGCTCACTGTTAGGGAAGATTCTTTGAAATCATAGCTTTGCAGGCTACAAATGACTTCAGACTGAAATGATTTGAACTTCTCTAAAAGGGAGAAATCATGTTTGGTTAAAGCTAGAAAAAGATTTAAAAAAGATAACAAATAATTCACATGGTACTGCCAGCAAAAAAAGGTAACCCATTTCAGGTTTATCTCCAAAAATGCCACCTTGATCTCAGGGGATATACTCCCCAAAAATTGCCCACTACCAACAAATTATTAACATGCATCTTTTTAGACCATTCGATTGATTTGATTATCATTCCAGAAAGAACATGTACATATAATGTTGTGTACATTAATGGTCAAAGGGGTTCAGTTACAATAGAAAATTAAAAAAACATGTTCTTTCTTTTAAGACTCTATAATGTTTGTAGTTTCAGCACAAAACATGGCAACAATTTACTTCACTACTCCAATACCACACTTGTTATGTATTGTTTTTCACTCATAATTTCTTCTACTTCATGTTTACTTATTATATCATTATTATTTGCAGGCTGCTTCTACAAAGGACTACCATTTTTTTAACCTGAGTATAGATGAACTGTGTGTGCAGCTGCCGAGTGAGGCAATAGAAAGCCCGGTCCTGGATGATGACTGTCTGGCTCAGCTGGGCAGCGGGTCGCTCAGTGCGCAGGCCTTCAGACACTGTTTCCTGCCCAACAACTCTGTCCTTATCTCAGCTCTGTGCGGGAGAGAGTCCCCGGACTCACAACAATCCCTGCCAGAAGAAAGCTGGGCCGCAACGTACTGCTGGAAGATACTCAACATCTCCCATGAGGACAACTTTGAGGAGACTTGTCAGTACAGCGCGTGGGCTGTGCATCATTTCACCAACTCTACACTCCTGGAGCTCTGTGGGCAGACACATGGATTGAGAGAGTACATTTGTCTTAATGTCACACTCTACAATACACTGTCAACATTAATCCCTCAGTTTGCTGATTTCTGTGCAGATCTGCAGGCGGAATTGGAGGGCAGGAAGTGCCTCCTGCAGAGGTTTTTTGAAATGCTCCCGGCGCCCTATGAGTTTGACACATCGCAGCTGTGTGTGGACCCGGCTCCTCTGCTGGTGGAAGCTCTGCACAAGCTCAGTGTGTGTGAGGTCGAGGGGGGGGAGCAGGAAGGGTTTTTAGTGGCGCTGGGATATGTGTTGAGGGTCCTAGACTTCATGGTAGGCCTCTCTTCGGGCCTGGATGAGGGGGAGAGAGAGGCGAGACAAGGTTTGGGTCAGGCCATCCTCCTCTCCAGTCTCCTTGACAACACACCCTGGGCCGCACTGCAGCCAGAAGCACAAAGGAGCATCCTTCACACCGTGGGAGTCTTCCTCCGCATGGAGCAGAACGCCACTCTCAAAGAGGACCTACTGAGCTGCTTCAGTGTAAGATAGCTTACACTCACACACACACTCACACACACACACACACACACACACACACACACACACACACACACACACACACGCACAAACACAAACACACAAAGCAAAGAGTAACTTGTTTTTTCTGTTACATCAGCCCGTCCTATGGGACCTCATCCAGCGGGACGACAACTCGTCTGCCCTGAGGTTCCTGCTGCAGGTACTGGCCTGTGCAGCTACTTTCCCATTGAACCTACACAATATCTCAGCTTCCTGAACTTTATATTTAGATTAATCTCTTTATCTTTCCAGGAGTACCTCCAAATGCCCAGAGACAGCATCCGCACTCTTGTGATGTCTGCAGAAAAAGATGCTGTAAAGAGATTCATCTCCCACATGCATCAGAGCTGGGACCAGCTGCAAGTTGAGACCGACCAGGTTTGTCCTCAAACTCTGAAGAAAAAATGTATATGGACAGCTCAACCTAAAATGTTATCGACAAAATTATACCTCTAACCCGCAGTGCTATTTATCAAACCTCAAAAAAACTAAATATAGTTTTTCAGGTTCTTGACCACAAGACGTGAAGTGCCATTTAGTTCCATTATATTCATAAGAGAAGGTACAAGTCTCTACAACTTGCAACAATCAATCCAGATTAAATAATAGCATCACTGGTAAGAGAAAGAATGTCTTTTTTATTTTGTGGCAAATTGTGAAGTTGAAACCTTTTGTGCAGGTCACTTTATTCCCTCAGTTTAGAGGGATGCTCTATTGCCTTTTCTTTGCTCTCTCTGTTCTAAAAAAATCCATTTCACGACCCATGCATAGTTAAAGAGGGCCAAATTGAATGCACATCAGTTTGTGCCCCGCTCTTTTGTTTTCTCTGCCAGGCGTCTCAAAAAGAGTTGCAGGCCATGGAAACAATGACCGCTGCTTTCATCCATAAATTCCCCCGAGTGACCCCTGAATTGTTCGTGGACATGTCTCAGTTCATCCCCTTCATGTCTGTTTCTGATATCATGAGCTTCCCAGCATCCCTGATAGTCAACGACAGCGTGTGAGTCACTGAGATAAGAAATAGTTGCGTTCATTTTTTATTTATCTTATTCTTTTAGTGCTTACAGATTCTGTGTTGTTCTTTAGGTTGACAGCCATTCGTGACCACAGCTCCGGGATGAAGTCGCTGCAGAAAAAAGCCTTTGTGAAGAGACTCCTGCAGTCCAGTGTGGTTGGGGATGTCCCAACATGGCCACCATACTTTCTCAGTTCAATCCTCCCACTTTTGCCTTACCTCCCAGTCAGTCATTTTCAGCAGCTGACAACCAAACAGGTTGGCTCTCTTTCACAGTTCACAGACATGGTCAGACGATAAGTCAATTATTGTTAATATTAAATATGAACAAGGGAGAATCAAATGCTCCTGGAGAGGGGCATACAAGGAAAAAAGGAAATAATAAGCCATTGCCTTCATAGATCTCACTCCAGTTATGGAAGATGTGGCAGTGCTCTCCACCTTCATTACATTAAACCATCACTCAGTGGAGAACTTATTTAGATTCTTTACTTAACCAAATAGCTACTTACACACTTTAAAAATACTTTGTTACCAATATAATTGCTGCATTAAGAATGTTACTTAAGAACAAGTTCGTTTGGAATAGCAGATGATGTTTTAAAATATAGAAAGATAGCAGAACATTGTCACATTTGAGAAGCTGGAACCATTATTTAATACAAAATGTTTTTCTCAATGTACTAATCGTTCCAGCTCTGTATACACTTTTGTTGATAATTTATAGCGAAACTTATACAACTTGTTTTTTATAAGCATTTGTATGTGTTGTATGTACGAATCAGAATTAGTGGAGAAACTAGTAAATTAAATATTTGTATGCTTTATTTCCGTCTAGCTTACTCCTCTGCTAGAGTTGCTAGGCAACAGCAGTCTGGATGGTGTAAGGGGGCGCCATGTGCTGCGGACGCTCTTCAGCAAGAGGAATAATTTTACACGTGATGACATACCGAGGTAAGACCCAGAAACTCTCTCTCTAGTCTCGCTCTCTCTAGAGTGCCAAAACCAAAGTGCCAAAACCAAAGTGCCATCCCATGTGTGTTGCAGGTTAGGAGTGCTTGCCTGTTACCTGGATCCAGGGGAGCTGGGATCATTTCTCCAGGACTCGGCTGTGTCCTCGGCTCTCTGGCAGCAGCTGGCTCAGTGCATGTCCAAAGGGTTGGTCAGCACCAGCGGCAGGGTGAGCAGCAACTGTTCATGAGTCCAATACATCAAATCTGCTTTAAAACAACGTCCTCAATACTGACTATGTCTGTTAAACTATGTTTCGTGGTCAGCTGTCCTCTTGGTTGATACCCGCTGCTGAAGCCCTGAACGTCAGCAGCATGGCCCCTCGGGAGCTCTCGGCCCTCAGCGGTCTGTTTCCTCAGTTAGGAACTTCCTTCCTGCTGTCGCTCCCCTCACAGCAACTTCTGGAAATCCTCTCACAACCAGGATCACACAGTTACTCCCCAGCACAGGTCAGCAGGGATATACTTTTCATTTTTCATGTGACTTCTTGTCATGTTTTAGTATTAGTCAGGTCAAACGTGCTTTACAGAGTGTTTGAAGAAATGCAGGAATGTTCAAATAGACATACATCAGAGAATATTAACAAAGACATATTATTAATACAATCAGAGTGCCACAACATTCAATTTACAACAATGAAAGTTACACACAAATAAAGAGCAGAATGTTGTTGAATGTACTCTTAATGATGAAACTGTTTAGGCTTTGGAAATCATTTGATTGGGTGATTCGATATTCGAAAACCAAACGTTTTGGGTCAAATAAATGTTTGATTTCCATAAAAATGATTACATTTGGTTAACAAATCAAAAAAGCATTTTCTCTAAGATACTACATGGATCTAAGATTCAGCCTTGACTGTTACATGTACTGTGAGGGTTTTCCCAGAACTGCAGACAATGCTTGCCAAATTTCTAATGAAAGAAGATGATAATGTGTGAGATATGTGACCTTTACACGATAACATTTCTATATCGATGTTTGAATATCTCTTCATTTTTAATGTTCCCAGGCTTTTCAAATATTATACAAAATATCACAGAACACCACTGTAAGTACACAGCTTTCAAAATATATTTGCTGCATTTCAGCCCACTGCACTTTCATCAGTGTGTTTCTCTCTCCCTGGCAGCTCACTGTAGACCAACTGTGCAGACTAAGGCCGTTATTCTCGGGTCTCTCCCCCGCTGTGCTCAGAGACCTCCAGTGGCCTGAGATCAGTGAAGCTGCCCACTGTCAGTGCTGGAGCACCATGCTAATTGAGTTTAAACCCGGACATAGAGCCATGCTATACAATGCAATGCAGGAGGTGACGCTGCTAATATCTGTACAACACTTCTCTTAACTTTTCATCCCTCCTTATAATTAGCTTTGGCTCGTCTGTTGTCACATGAGGATTAGATTGACAATAGAGGTGGTAAGGTTAATTTCCTTCCTGACAGATAAATCTCACAGGGCAAATATGACATTAAGTTAATTAAAAAAACATTGGACTAATTATCTAGCTAATTTGGTTTTCCAGGAAGTGTTAATTTGATCCACATATGTCGTCCTTTTTTATGTTTACTTCAAAGGCTTCTTGGTTTAAATTCACCTCCTTGTATTGTTGTGTGAGTTAACAGGCTCTTCACAGAGACTCGCAGAACATCATTCAGCAGGTGAACTGCCTTCTACCATGGCTCCCTCTGAGGAAGCTGACAGAAACTTTAAATGGGGAAACAGTTCTGAGAGATGTTGGCCTGTACAGAGACGTGCGCTGGTCGCCACAGCAGGTGTGCACTTTACCTTAACCTACCTTTGTGTGCTGTTTCACACTGCATTGATACAACAGCAATGGGTTGGTGGTTCTCTGACTAAAGAAGAACATGTTACCAGCTTCGGTCCCATTAATCTGCAACTCATTAGATATGCTTCAGGTGAGCCTTTCAGGATATTAATACTCCCCACGCATCAGCTGCCATCAAGCTAATTAGTTTGGATGTAATACAATGGTGTAGAGGAGTGTAGTATAAATTAATAATGGCTTCCTTAAAGGGATTTTGTCACAGCCAAGAGTATATTTCACCTCCTGTTCCCGGCCTAACAAGACCTGAGTCAAATCAATAAAGTTTGCCCTTTTCAGTGAGTGGCTGCATCGCAGTATACTGTGACACTTAATATAAAACCAAAAATATGATGTTTATACAAACCAAAAGTTTAATCTTTCTATACCTTGCCATTGTGTTTGATATTTTGGAGACATCTGTGTGATTTTAAGCAACACGTCAACCACACTGTTGTTCCTTCAATAATTAAATTCAATACTAATCTGAATTTTTTTAGGTTTAACCCAAAACTCTTTGCACCTATTTAGAGAGTAAGTTAAGTTTATTAGGTATTGCACCTTTCATATAATGTGCTTTACAAGAATACAAATAAATAAAAATACAAGGTAGTGTATCTGGTGGGCTACATTAGTGATGTAAAACCTATGTTGAATTTAAACCCAGACTACATTTTTGCTGTGCAGCTGGAGATGGATTTTAAGCAAACCAAAAGTTGGAGACATGTTTCCACAGCTTCAACAGATAGAGATACTTTTTGTTATACCTAGGGGCACAACTCATGTCACAGAAGCAGTACACAATCGCAACCACCCTGAACAAAGAATAGAGCACAGAAACACACATTAACAACACAAGTAAAACAAGAGTTACAATTAAAAAGTGTTCCTTTTAAATATGTGCATACAATGTGCAAACGTTTGTATGGTGTGCAAAATTAGTTATGAGGTTGTTTATCGATGAACAATTCTTCATCCACTCTGGAGTCCAGACTGAGGCATTAGAAGAAAGTGTTGTGGAAAGGGTTCATCCTTTAGAAACATGTATTGGATAATGCTGGCTTGTATGGGAGGGTTATGGGATCATTACAAAAATGTGTGAACAATATTATATATTTTCTTTGTCGTGACAGGCTCAGCTTCTGTTCAAAAAGATCCATACATTTAAAAACATTACCCACAAGATGGTGAGGTAAGTTGGATGAATTGCACCAGATCCTTGAGATCATTGGTGTTAATCATGATGTATTTGAACTTGCAAATTGAACACATTTCCAGGTGTGATACTCATCCAATAAGCAATTTAAATACAACTTATCTTTTTACTTTTAGGAATCTGGGTAATATTGCCAGTGGCATGAGTTGTGACTTTTTGAGGCTTTGGATCAACGATACAGATTTTGCAGAGCTGCTTCAGTTTGTGAGTGAGCTCCCTGGAGGCGTGAGACCGGCTCTGGTGAGGAACAAACACTTCAGCACCTCTCAAAGTCTTTATTATAGTCTCTGATACGTAACCATGATTCATGAATGTGCTGTTTTCACATATCAAATGACAATATTATGTTTGATTCTAACAAGTTCAGATGTTCTGTCTGTGTTTCCAGAGAAAATGTATTGTAGAAGAACTGAGGAAACAACCTGAGCTCGACCTCAGTGCTTTGAGCTCTGAGTTTGCTGTAACTTTACCGTATGTATCTCTTTTTAAAACGTAAATATTTCACCGTTTTTGCCAAAATAACTGCTTTAACACTTCTGCTCTGTTCTATTTCAGCGTGACAATGATAGAGGATCTCTCTAATGTGTCCTTCAGAGCCATTCTGGACCACATTCAGGCACACTTTGAGGATTTCCTCAGACTGCCATATTACAAGCAGACAAATTTGGCAGAGAAGGCCGTAACTGAGCTGGTAAACACAAACAAAACCCATCAAAATACTGCATTCATTATCTGCGTATCTTTAGATGATGTGCAGGAGTTGACACATTTCTTAAAATAGAAAAGTGATCAGAAACCATGCTGCATGTAATCTATTAACATCCTTATGTTGGAACAGAAATCCTTAATTAACCTCAGGGTATTTAAGATGCTAAACTGGCACCATGAGCATTCAGAACAAATGCTATTTTTGGTAAAAGGAAATTAGCGCTTGCCTCTGTGATGGTGACTCATGTATTTGGTTTGTTTAAACAAACTGATGTGGCAGAAAGACCACAGCATTTGTTTTTTTTCAGGCTATTTCAAGAAAGCACTCACGAACAGACACAAACAGAGAACAGATGGAGACAGAGATTCAGAATATAACCTGCTTCATCCTCTCAACAGCATGTCACACCAGTGAAGTCATATCAGTGTGAAATCCCTGTAATCCAGTCCTACTGACAGTGTGATGCTCTGCAGGGCTCTTTTCAGGCTCAGGGGGAGATTGATGGCTCCACTCTGGACGTCCTCGGGCCTTTACTGCCTTTCCTGGACCGGGACAGTTTGGCTCTGGTGGACAGAGCAGCTGTGGCTCTGCGGCTCGAGGAGATGAGAAGTTTCTGCCTTCCTAAAGACACTCTGAGAGAAATGAGTGCCCTGCTCACAAAGAAAGACCTGCTCGGGTAAAAACACTCCTCATGTCCTGGTTATAACACCTGGGTCAATAAAATGTTAAGATATTGATTTCAAAAATTATTTTAAAATAGTGAGTTATAATAGCAACAGCTATCTGAAAATGTGATGGTCATGACACCTATGTCAAAAGTATGTTAGGGGCTCATTTCAACAGTTGCCTAAGATATAATATTTGGTCGCTTCATATTTTTTCTAGACATCTTTTAAAAAAACAAATACACATTTATATTTTGATGGTGCACGATAAAATATATCACAGTTCATCCTTAGGTAAACATGAATGTGTGTAGTAAAGTTTCATGGTAATCCACCAAAAAGTCATTGAGATGTGTCAGTCTGAAACAAAGTGATGGACTGACAGGGAGTCCCATCCATACAACCGTAAAAATCATAAATAAGTGAAAGCAAGTATTCGGTTTATACCTTTTGATTCCTATCCTCTAAAACACATGAAATTCCATATAGAAAACTTGCTTGTAAAACATGGTTTGCATACATCTGCAGTGATAGTAAGATATGTGTACTCTTTGCCAGGGAGCCGTCTAAATGGCAGGTTGGGGATGTGGAACATTTGGGCCGGCTGGTGTTTTCTCTCTCCACAAAGCAGCTTAACTCCATCCCTCTGGTAAGCACCTAAAAGCATCAACCCAGGGAATTAATGAATCTTAACTGCTTTTCTAAGACACGGCCTGATCATATGTGTTTCCCCTGTGCAGACAGTGTTGAATACAGACACAGTGGAGCAGGTGCTGGAGGGCCAAAGTCTCTGGGAGGACAGTGTGGTGGGCGGAGTCTGTGTTGCTCAGTGTGTGGACCAGCAGCGGCAGAAACTGAAGACTCAGAGTCTCATTCGAGGGATTGTCAAAGCTCGGAGCAGGAGGGCCAAAGGTTCTCTGAATATTTCTATCTAAGCTGGCATGATACTGTGGCTTATGTTTGGTGTAAGTTTTAACAGAGTGTTAAATTCACTGCCGTCTCTTTGTGCAGTGCCAGTCCCAAGCTGTGCAGACATCAGAGGGACGTTTCCTTCAGCTTGGACCTCCACTCAGCTCAGCCGTATGTCACAGCAGGATCTGAATCAGTGCGTAGAAGTTTTTGCTCAGGATGCTTCTCTCAGCTCTGAGCAACGCCGAGCACTCTGGGTGAAACTCAGACAGGTCAGTAAAACTGTGAAAGACCACAGGAGGTTTAGAATGTCTCAAATATATTTCTTCACCCAAGCATTATCTTTATTGTTTTCTTTATAAACGCCCTAAGGCTGAATCAGCCCATTTCTCACCCCCTCCCCACTACCACCACACATCCCCTATAACCCATGCATCCAACCAGTATTTTCTCTTGAGTATATAACTATTCTAAGAAAATAAATTAAAAAAAACAGGGGAAAATAAGAAATTACATTCCGGGAATTAAAAGCCCTTGTGAATAATTTTTGTGCGGGATAAAACAACAACAGCAATAATAAATACAAAGAAACAAATGAAACAGACGTAATTCAGAAATGTTAGAAAATAAACCCAACTATTTTAAACTCACCTGATTTTTCCTTCAGGTTATACATAGTCTTTTAATGTTGTATACATGACACTTCTTAATTCGTCCATCTAGCAACTGTAGGTAGATGTTCATCTTTGTTGTGTTTTTTCACATCATCACCTTTCCCCCTCGCGGTATACAGTAGATATTGTTCCCATCAGGCCAATCTGAGTACAGTATAGGTACAAATTCTAATTCCACACTGTTAAAACACTAGGTTACAGGTAAAAGCGCTGCATTGAAAATGTTACTCAAATAATGTAACCTGTGACCAATATTTTAGCCTACATTATATTATCAGATTAAGAGCCCAAAGTGACACCTTCAGTGTTTTGTCCACCAACAGTCCAGACCTCATAATTATGTAAACACATGTAATTGTGGTGTTGGTGTGATTCTGCTTTCTTCAGTCTCTTCCTGGCTAGTAGTTGCCAACCATGAGAGAGATTACAGCAGAGTAAAACGTTTTAACATCAACATAATCTGTGGTTGAAACATGTTGTGGTTCTTCACTCACTGCAGTCCTTCGGTCCGGTGAGAGAGCTGGGGGGGGATCAGGTGCTAGCTCTGGGCCCGCTGGTGACTGAGATGGGAGACAGAGAGCTGCACGACGCCAACCTCACAGACCAGGGAGTGTTGGCACATCTGGGGACACTGACACACTGGAGCCCAAAGAAGGTATAGTATTTAACATTCTGATGTACAACTGGAAGTAACGGGAATTATCTCCTCATAAACACTTTGGTATTATTAGTATGTGTTTAATGTTTCTATCTGTGTTTTTGTTTAAAGATGAGAGCGTTGATTTTAGGTGTGATGCGGAAACGAAAACTGAAAGTGGAGCAGTTAACAGCTCTTGATCTGGCAACGTTTGGCCATCTGATGTGTGGCCTGTATCCCTCAGAGATCAGAAGACTGAGCGCCTATAACCTCAGGTCAGTCCCATACCTAAAGTATGCAGTGTTGTGCTAGTTACTGAAAACCAGTAACTAGTTACCATTACTAGTTACTTCATGTCAAAAGTAACTCAGTCACTTTACTAGTTACTTACACCCAAAAGTAATGCGTTACTGTGAAAAGTAACATTTTCGTTACTTTGGGAAATGTCTCCCATTAATGCCCTTATCGCCTTCATTTCAGTACTGTTATTGCATTGGAGAATAATACAATCTGTTGATCAACTTGACATGCATTATATGCAATCTGGATTGCATCGATATTAGCTGGCTTTCCATTTTTGTATATTCTTTCTCCAGGTAGTTGGAACAAGTGTTCCGTCCCATATGCCGTGTGCCGCCCGGACATGCTATCATGCTAACTAGCTCCCTGAAAGCGGGTGACTCCACTGTAGCAATAGCCTGCATGTGTTCTACAACATACCGTGCAATGGCTTTATCGACTTTTCCCTGGCCAGCAGTCCCTTGGTTAAAATCCAGCCGCTGTTGCTTAGGTGGAGGTGGAGTGGCGTCGGCTGAGTCTCTGTGGTCTTAGCTACTAGCTTCGTCCCAGCATGTTGTTTTTGCAGATGTTTTAAGAGATTTGAATTACTGGTTTGGGCAGTAGATAGGATCTTTGACCCGCCAAGACACAACTTACTTTTAACTAAAACGTTCTTTTCTTTGTGCTCGACAAAAGTGAAATAGTGAGAATATCTCCAGGTGGAGAAACTAGACTTGAGCTCCGCCGCCGCCATGATAGTCTTGTTAGTAAACAACACAAACACGCCCACAGCCCGTCTCCGCATGTGACACAGGAAGTATCTAAGTACATTTACTCAAGTACTTAAGTACAGTTCTCATCTCTGTTCGCCTGGCTGTTGACTATATAAAAAAACTAACGCAGTAACGGAGTAACGCACCATGTAGTAATGGTAACTGAGTTACCGAATATAAAAAGTAACGAGTTACTTGTGACGCGTTAGTCCCAACACTGAAAGTATGTAAAGTAAAGTATGTAAAGTATGTAGTAGGTAAATGGTTAGTGGTAAATGGACTGAATTTATATAGCACTTTTCCATTCTTTACGACCACTCAAAGTGCTTTTACAAATACAAGTCAGCATTCCCCGGTTCACACAGAGGCAGAGGCCACCATACAAGGTGCCATCTGCATGGGGAACAATTTACAAGACCAAACAAGACCAAATAACACGCTATAAAAGAAGGATCACACTCAGCAATATGTAGTCAAAAATAATTGTAACATATATACAATACAGGTAAATGGCATCAAAACAAAGATGAACATATACCCAGTGCTAAAATCTTAAAAAATACATTTACTAAAGTACTGCACAGGTATTTATTTATATATTTATTTCCATTTGAGGCTATTTTCTATTATATGATTCTGCAGAATGAGTACATTTACTTATTATACTTTAATTACATTTGAATGCTTACACTTTTCTACTTGAATGCAGGACTTTAACAGAGTACTTAAACACTAAGTATGTCTGTTATCCTTAATAAGTGATCTGAGTACGTCCACCACATACAGTCCAAAGATGTGACGAATACTGCACCTACACAACACTACTGAGCAGCATTGATAAAAAAGTATAAATCCTTTAAATTCTATAACAGAATTAGTTGCTTTAGATTTCAGAGAGACATTGATTTAACATCCACCTGCCTACAGTTGCTAAACAACAGGAGGCTTGTGTGCATTTCTTAGAAGCACAATACTCATAAAACATTCTGCATACCCAGAGGAGGATAAAGTGCTAAATCGTTTTCTCACACTGCAGTCTGGCTGCCCTGTTCCTGCGGGAGACGTCCCTGCCGTGCACGGAGCAGCAGATGGAGGCGTTGACAAGCCGCTTGTCCAGACCTGAGGCCTTTGGTCCACTCAGTGCTTGGGGACCAGAAGTTTTCACGGAAATTGGGACAATAGCAGGTACAATGGAACATAATTTCCTTCGGGTATGAATGTCTTTGTGATAAACCTTTTCTTAAATTGTTTTAAGTGAGGAGGGTGCAAGCAGGAAACGACAGCTCCTGGATGGAAAGTTGCAATTAAAAATATCCTTGAGCGTATACAAGTTTCAACAAATGTTTATACTACTTGTGATTTTACAACAAGAAGATTATTTTCTGACTAAACATTGTTTGTGTCTCTGTCCAGTGGGCCTGGAGGACATGGTGCTGTCAGCTCTGGTACAAGAACAGGTGGAGGGAATCTCACCTGGAGCCATCGCCCTGATGTCCCCGAGAAAAATGGCAGTGAGTGTGAACCACGATTCTATGGCTAATTAATTCAAGCTAAACTACAAGACACTCAATAGCTTCATTATAAAGGTGTATTAATTACATGTTTATTGCACTAATGGCAAATATCTCATACTTTTAAGATATGACATTTTACTTCAACAACAATCAAAGCCTTATAAAAGTGTCAAAGAAATGAATCAATAACTTTTTTGACTTGTTACATTAGGAAAAATAGGGGTATTTAAAACAAATAAATGATGGTTTGATTTTATTTTGCTGTTGTGGGGAAAAAAGTACTTAAATTCTTGAAATAACTAAAAGTATAAATCTACTGTATCACTGAGAAAATACTCCACCACAAATAAAAACCTTACCCAAGTATACATTTGAAGTATTACCAGCAAAGTGCACTTAAAGTTTCAAAAGTAAAAGTGTTATTTCCATATCTATAAATTAACCTTTGTCTTTGTTTGATGTATCTTCTCTCTTTTTTTGGCAAACTAATTATACTAATTTGTATATTGGATGGTTGGGAGGAAGACAAAGTCAGAACAGAAAGGGATTTTTTTAAAGAGGTGCTGGATCCTTTACACAATATTATCGAGAGTGTATTTTGGCATGATTTAAATAATAAATATCAAAGTTATTGTTAATACCAGTATATCCCAACACCCCTAATAGGTTCATAAGTGGCTCCTCTCGAATGACAGTATCTTGTGTGTGTGCTGTGTGTGTGTGTGTGTGTGTGTGTGTGTGTGTGTGTGTGTGTGGTGTGTGTGTGTGTGTGTGTGTGTGTGTGTGTGTGTGTGTGTGTGTGTGTGTGTGTGTGTGTGTGTGTGTGTGTGTGTGTGTGTGTGTGTGTGTGTGTGTGTGTGTGTGTGTGTGTGTGTGTGTGTGTGTGTGTGTGTGTGTGTGTGTGTGACAGGTGGTGTTCAGTGCTGTTCAGATGTCGTGGCTGAGTGCGGAGCAGGCGTGGGCCGTCTCCGAGGAGCAGTGGGCAGAGCTGGACACCGAGCAGAGGCACGCTGTCGGCCTCGCAAGATATGAAGGAGACGTACTGCTGGAGCTGAGAGGTGTGTCTTTAAAAAAAACATCAGGAGGATCACATTTATTTTTAATAACCTCCTTCATAATGAGGTTGTCTTGTTTACTTGATGAAATGTTTGTGAGTGTATATCTTTTATATTACTTGTTTGCACTCACAGGTTTTTACGAGGTGTAAATAAGGTGATAATAAATGCTGTGTTTCTGCTTCCACAGGGAGAAACTCGGCTCCAGCAGCAGACAGCTTCTCTATCCGCTCACTGGCTCTGTGCCTCTTGTTATGGCAACTCATTTAACAAGTTGGAATGAGAGTAATTGTCCCTTGACCTCCCTTGGTAACAACATATTTGTACTTCAAATAAATATTTTGAACTGTTCTGTTTCCTTTGTGAGTTGTTTCTTTAATTTACATCACTCTTGATTGTGCTCTGCTGCACATGTTTCTCTTTTATTGCAGCTATCCACTTGAGAATAGATAAGTGTATGAGATCATGGTACTATATTTAATATTCTTTTGATAGAACAATTATAGGAAACAATGCAATAATACACGTTTGTGTGACAGAGAACAGGGCTTTTGAAACGTTACATCATGTGTAGTCAAACAAAAACACTTGAGATTGTATTTTATTGAACTAAACAAAATGTCCCTTTACCTACAGACACTATGGGATGATAAACAACATTTTAAATCTTTCTCACATTTATTTCTAACATGATGAAGCACTAACTACCTGAAACTCTTGAAGTGCAATATCCTTTCTCGTAGTGTCTTCTATACTTCCTGTATGTTTGTAGCAAATATTTCATCTCCTCTGAGAGATTATATAATGATTGCTATATTTAGAGTACAAACTGAGATAACATGTATCTGTTTTTTAGCATTAAAAACGTCACGAGGGGATAGATTTAGTATCAGAACTGTTATAGACTGCCAATCTGTAAATCTGATGATTTACTAATCCCTCCTGATGCAGACATAATGTGCTTTCCATGTTTTGAGAACTGCGACACTGTGATTGGACTTTAAGTGACAGCACTAGTCAAGTTACAACTGCTACAGTTTGTCTATTTGTCTGTAAAAAAACATCTAAATTAAAAACACAAATGTTTGCTCTTACTGTAAGTAATTAACTGGGAAAGTCTCATGGTGGTAGCTTTTAGTGTTTATCCTATTTTCATTGTGATATATTTTTGTTCCATTTTTAACCTGAAACGTTGATGATTAAACAGCGCCCTTTGGTTTATGTGCGTAGAATGAAAGAGGTCAGATTACCAACCAGGCAAAGCAAGCAACTGCCCCGAGATGTGGAACCTACTGCTGCAGGTCTCCCTTGAAAAAGAGATCATTGATCTCAATGGGATTTTACCTGGATAAATAAAGGTTTTGAATTGAATTGTATATTGGGAACCAAAAAAGCCCCCTAAGTTCACTGCCTGTTCATTCTTCTTTTTCAATTATTTTGTTATAGAATCTGACCCACTAAAGTACTATACCTATAAGGGCAGGAGGGAAATATTAGCACATGTTATAGCTTTGTGTTGTACAGGGGCTCCTTATGAAAATGTAATTTTTGTTAACTGTTGAACCAATAAGCAGTTATTGGCCACACATGTCTTATTTTCAATTATTAGTTTTAGCACTGTATGGCCTTACAGTATTAGTTCAAGTTGAATAATTACAGAAAATGAGAGGATAGAGAGAGGGGGAGAGAGAGAGAGGGAGAGAGAAGACGCAGAACCAGGGATGTTGTGGTTCATGGTTGACGGCGAGGGCAGCCCCAGTGCATATTTCAAGTTGGGTTTAATTTAATTATCACAAACTCTGACACACAGAAAACCTGAGACCAGATTAATTTGCTCATCAGAGTATGTGGGGGCATGCATGGGACACAACCCTCTTAATATTTAGATGATGACCAATAAAAACATGTTTTATTTTGACAACCTGTATAACCTATGCTCAATGCAACCATTCAATGCCTAATCTGTGATGCTCAGTAACACATAGTTACAAGTAAATATGTGAAAGCAGGATAGAGTATATCAGATCCGAAATGCATTAACTTCAATTTTGAATTGTCATCTGTAAATAAAGACATTCCTAGCATGAATTGATGCAGAAAAAGCACAAATTAGAGCATCAAAATCAACAATCCAACTCCCCTCCTTCCCTTGTTGCCCTTTTACTAGCAAAAACTGTTTTCTCAATAAAGATGGCATTTTCTGGCATCATCCTGTGCATATATCAAGTGTTTCCATCTGTGTTCCCCATCCATCTGGGAATAAATGATCGTGTCTGCGGAGGAGGGTGCAGTTCCGTGGCTGGCCGGCAGGTGGAGGTGTCGCCGCGCCGCTGTCCGCTAGGAGGTGTTGCTCCAACGGCTCCACTTTGTCCGTGGCCGTGACGTATTTCCTGGGGCTTGCACGGACCACTCAGCGGTACACCGGAGGGGTATCATGACTATTTATAACCAGCAATTCTCTCTTATCAATTTTTCAACCGCTTCGCCGAGCGGTCGTCGGTCCTAACACCGCGGGGGGAGACAACAACACGCCGAGGTCGAACAGGATGTAAAAGGGGGTAAGTTAAGCGGATTGTAAGTTGTGCTGGAGCTTGTGATTGTACTTGTTTGGGGCTGCGTGGTCGGCGAGTTTGTCTCCGGTACCACAGAGACCCTGGCACCGGGCAGGACAGCGAGGCATTGGGGTCTTATTGATCCCGGTTTGCTGTCAGTGTTTGTGGGATCGTGAAGGAGGGCAACTCGCTCCCAGAGGTGACGTCGACTGCGTCCGGTTCTCCTGTGGTTGTGTCAGCGAGGAATGTGTGTCTGTGCTCCTCGGTAGGGAGTAGTAAAATGTGAGGTCGGAAATGCTCTTCAGGGGTGGATGAGAGGAAAAGGGGGAGGCACCTGTGAGCACCGCGGTGTCAAGTTAATCACAGCGCGGTGCAGTTTCAGACAAATTTGTCCAGCGGAGGAGTTATCATCCTTGGATCAGCTCCAGCCGCCGCTTCGGGCTAAATAATGACTACGTGTTGTTGTCACGGATTCATCAACGCGTGAGGTGAGTCAACCGAGGGCAAGCTCAACACGTTACCCCGATCAGCTGATACATTTAAACATCTTAACTTTCATAAACATTCACGTGTTGTGGCGTTACAGGCCGGAGAAGTTTTCCTCCTTCCTGCAATTAATCTCTGCTCCACATAACTATGTCCTTTCTGACAAAAACAGGACGTGTTGCTGTTTACACGGGAACACTTTACACTTAATATCTTGGGTATCAGCGAGTATGAAGGCTGTGGCTTTACGACTGAACTTTGACACAAGGAGTAATCGATGCAAAAACAGCTGATTTTGTTGGGTTAGACTGGGCTGGCTTGTTGTTTTCTACATGTTCTAACTTCCTGTGAAACATGGACCTGAGCTTTAGCCATTTCACAGAAATAAGTGTGCTTCATTTTGGAAACTGAGCGTCTAGTGTTGTCTGTGCTTCCACTAAGCCCAACACTGTAATGCCTCTCCAGTGAAGCAATACTAAGCTACTGATCATTATGAATAAACACTTAAGCAATGTTGATGACATCGTTGCATGCACTTACATTTAGGCTACCAAATGAGAACAAGGCATCTCAAAAAGATAATGCCCATTGTTCTGAAGTAAGTGACTGCTTCTTTCTACTGTGTGATACAATTGTTTAGTAGGGTGTTAAAGTTGATGCCTGAAATACAAGCCTCTTAACTAAATGCATGTACTAGTTGTTAACTTAACTTAGAAATTGAGATTGTGTGAGATGTATCTGTGTAGTAGAAAGTATTCTGGAAGTTATTTGTTAATGCTGAACATGCTGCATACATCTGAACAAGTTCAGGCTTCAACCAAAGATTATTTTAATTGTGAAAAATGTTGTTCAACCCGAAGATATTGAGTTTACTGTCATAGAGAGGATGAACATTTTTGCATTTTTGAGCCTTTTATTAAGCTGAATTTGAGAGTTTTGACTTTTTATTCTTAAAAAAACAACTCGAACTCATTAATTGATTACCAAAAAGTTGCAATTGAACTGATGTTTACCAACCAACTAACTAATTGTCTTAAACAGATGCACCAGGGATAACATGAAGAACAGGCGAGACATTTTTGATAGTTTGCAGGCACTTGTTTAGGCTAATTGTCCGTCAAGCAATAACCGCCAATGGCTTTTACAATATAGATTCCCATTGTAAGAATGATTCACAAAGATGATCGCACGTTGCACACATTCAATACTTTGTGACCAACTTTACGGTAGTTTCGTCGGGTGGGGTCATTGTTATATCAGGTATACAGTCATATTACATACAAAGTTCAATGGTGGAAATTCTACACCACTGAAGAAAGAGGTAAAACCCTCCCATGTTATCAATATCCTGTAGTCACCAAGACAAACAATGTGGCGAAGGAGGTGTTGAAACATGAAGGTGTTTCTGCTTTGTGACATCCTGAAACAAGGCTTTTATACTCATTGTGTCAGGATGAGGATTTATTTGACTCTTTAGGAGGTGTACAATTCCACCATTTCCTTTCCTCTTGTTTCCCTTTTACTTGAAACACTATGTCACAACAGTCTATGAAGTAACCTAAGCACAAATATTTGAATATAATTTCCCCTGCGTTCTGTTTGTCATTCAGCTTCTATTGAAAGATGTGTGAAAGAGATTTATTTTTAAACATTAGAATATACAGTGGGGCAAAAAAGTATTTAGTCAGCCACCAATTGTGCAAGTTCTCCCACTTAAAAAGATGAGAGGCCTGTAATTTTCATCCTAGGTATACCTCAACTATGAGAGACAGAATGAGAAAATCCAGAACATCACATTGTCTGATTTTTAAAGAATTTATTTGCAAATTATGGTGGAAAATAAGTATTTGGTCAATAACAAAAGTTAATCTCAATACTTTGTTTTTACCCTTTGTTGGCAATGACAGAGGTCAAACGTTTTCTGGAAGTCTTCACAAGGTTTTCACACACTGTTGCTGGTATTTTGGCCCATTCCTCCATGCAGATCTCCTCTAGAGCAGTGATGTTTTGGGGCTGTCGCTGGGCAACACGGACTTTCAACTCCCTCCAAAGATTTTCTATGGGGTTGAGATCTGGAGACTGGCTAGGCCACTCCAGGACCTTGAAATGCTTCTTACGAAGCCACTCCGTTGTTGCCCGGGCGGTGTGTTTGGGATCATTGTCACGCTGAAAGACCCAGCCACGTTTCATCTTCAATGCCCTTGCTGATGGAAGGAGGTTGTCACTCAAAATCTCACGATACATGGTCCCATTCATTCTTTCCTTTACACGGAT